AAACATATGTATTCATCATTTTTTTTAAAAATAAAATTGACTTTCTTTAATAAAACATTTATTTATATTTTGATGTGACTGAACTCGAAATTTTGAATGCTCGAGCTGCCTACGTACCCTTCCAAAGAAAGAGATCAAGTCAAAACGTAGTTCAAATACATACATATTTTTTTTGTTATTTTCTTTTTGTGCCGTTTGTAGTTTCAACTCGTGCAGGCAAGGAGCGTTGGCGTCGTTTGCAGTTTCAACTCGTGCAGACAAGGAGCATTTGGTGCCGTGTTGCAGTTTCAGCTCGTGCAGGCAAGGAGCTTTGGGTTGTCGCATTTTATGCTCGTGCAGACCAGGAGCGTTTAGGGGTGGGCACTTAGAACCGAAAACCGAAACCGAAACACGAACCAAATCGAACCGCACCGACGGTTTGGTTTTGCGGTTTTGAAACGGTTTCGGTTTTGAAACCGAACCGCAACATAGAAAACGGTTTGGTTTCAGTTTTGGCTTTTGAAAACCGCACCGAAACCGAACCGCACCGCAAATATTAATAAACATTTAATTAAATGTCCATATTAGATTTCATGTTTTAATTGGTCGTTTGTTAAAATCCATACACTTAGTATGGACTCAACCATACTAGAATATCATCATTCATCACTTTCTTTATTCATTAACTTGAAGGACCTTTGTTATTTTATACTATCACACACACACACATATATGTACAAGGGTGGACTAATCTTGTTATCAAGAGTCGAACAATAATCTACTAAAAGCCACTCATTTGAAGCATGATATCACATATTCTAGTATGAAAATTTCGCTCACGTTTAATGAATTCAAATTTATTCAACTTGTTTTATGAAAAATATTGTAAGGGACACCTTTTTGTTGCACAAACATGTTTTAACATCACAACTACATGCAACATGCTAATTGTTTACATAACAAATGTCATTTTCCTATTACTATTGGGAAATGCTTTTTAATATGTTAAATTGCAAATTGTACATTTTTTCTTAAAAACCAAACCGAAACCGTTTGAAACCGCACCGAACCGAACCAAACGGTTTGGTTTCATTTTGGTTTTGGCTTCAAAACCGCACCGAACCAAACCGCAAAAACTTGCGGTTTTGGTTTTGATTTCACTCAAAACCGCACCAAACCGAACCGCGCCCACCCCTAGGAGCGTTGGTGTTGCCTTTTATGCTCGTGCAGACCAGGAGCATTGTGCCATGCAGTTTAGGCTCGTGCAGGCGAGGAGCATTTGTGAATTTTGTCAAGCAATCCGGGAGAGGCGTTCCTCACAATTTTCATAGCAAGGAGCTTTAACCGCGTGATTGAAGAAGTCTTCGGGCAAGAAGTCCCGCATCGTGATGGCAACGGACGATTTTTGTGTCGCAATTTCATCATCTTCAACACGTTCACGTTGCTTTGAAGGTTGACAAGAGCTGCTTTGCCCCCTTTCCGATTGGCGGACTTGTGGAGGAGACGTATGCTTCTTGTGCAATTTCTTATGAGTGACTTGAGTCCATCCTTCTACTTTGCTTGTCTTGGAGGATGCCCCCAGCGGTTGAGGTGAAAACTTTGAGTCGGAAGAGCCAGAAGTGAAGGTGGTACAGTTTGACTCCCTCACATCGTCAAGATCTAGCTCGATGATTCCTTTCTGAGCCAGCTTCATGATGAGATCTTTCAGCACGAAACACTTTTCTGTCGGATGACTGATGAAGCGGTGGAATTTACAGTATCTTGGACTGTCAGTACGATTCATCTCTTCCGGCCGTCTGCACTCAGGCAAACTGATCACCTTCTTGTCCAACAGGTCATCTAGCATGGCAACCACATCAGAGTCGGGGAATGGATAAGTCTTCTCCTCAAGCTCCTTCAAAGTGCGTCTACGCGTCTCTTGATCACGAAAAGCTTCGGTTTGAATCGCCTTGCCTCGTGTGGATATTTTGACGGGAGATGTGTGTTGATCGTCATCGCTTCTTCCTTGGTGGGTTTCCATGCAGCCTTTTCCACCTTTGTCCCAAGAGCTTTGTCGTTCTTGTAGTCGGCGATCGGTTCTTTCTTCCCATGATGGGTGATGCTCAACTCCATGTCATGGGCGCGAGTGGCCAATTCCTCGAAGGTCCGCGGTTTAATGCCTTGAAGGATGTATTGCAAACCCCATTGCATGCCTTGGATGCACATCTCGATTGAAGAGGTTTTCGAGAGCCTGTCTTTACAGTCGAGGCTTAGAGTGCGCCATCTGTTAATGTAGTCAATGACTGGCTCATCCTTCCACTGCTTTGTGCTCGTTAGCTCTAGCATGCTCACAGTGCGGCGGGTGCTGTAGAAGCGGTTGAGAAATTCCCGCTCCAATTGCTCCCAGCTGTTGATGGACTCAGGCTCTAGGTCCGTGTACCACTCAAAGGCGTTCCCTTTCAGCGAGCGCACAAACTGCTTGGCAAGGTAGTCCCCTTCGGTTCCTGCATTGTTGCAAGTTTCAACAAAGTGGGCAACGTGCTGTTTCGGGTTTCCCTTTCCATCGAATTGCATGAACTTTGGCGGTTGATAACCCATCGGCATCCTTAAGGCGTCGATCTTCTTTGACGGCTTTGAGTACAACCCGGAGGTATTTGAGCTCCCTTCGTACTGTGCCTTGATGGTGTTGGTGATCATCTCTTGCAGCTGCTGGATAGAAAGAGATCCCATGAGTGCCGCTGCTTGTTCTGGCTCCGGCTTCATATCGATATTCTCCACCGGAGGCTCATCTTCTGGGTTAGGGTTATCGCCGTCCTGTGGCTCCAGTCGGCTGACAAGTGCAGCGATTTGCAAGTCTTTTTCTTCCACAGTTCCGGTTAGCCTTGCGATTGCTTCATTCATTTGAGCCAGCTGCTCATCGATTGAAGTTGCTCCAATGGTCATGACTTGCATGGCTGAACTGTCGCTTGAATCGGCATCGGAGAGCATGGATTCAGAGTATTTCCTTGGGCTTTCCCCCCTTGGTGCCCTTAGTAAGGCTAAGGTGATCAAAGGCTAGTGCCTTGGGTGCTTTTGTTCCCTTGGCAGAGTTGATGCAGATGTGAAAGAGGCTGCAGAAGTAGCCCTTGCCATGCTTCGAGTCGTGATGCCCAAAGTGACACCAGTTGCGACGAGGACGCTTTGGTTCTTTGCGCCGGTTGCGGGAACAGTTTGAGCCCTCCTTGATGCCATTAATTTTTTGAAGTGCGCTTGAATTTCTTGAACGGAGAAAGAGATGAGAGGCAGAGATTGTCCCACTGGGCGTGCCAATTTGTGAACACGGAAAATTCCTGAAACGAAAGAGACAAGAACAACGCGCACAAACAAATATTTGGTATTTGATGATTTTGGGTTACAATCTCTCTCTATTTTGATCCTCTGATTCAATCTCCGTAAGGTGTTGATTTGTGGATGTGCGATTGATCCAAAGGGCCGTTAGGCTTGATCTAAGGATGAACGTTCTTCAAGGGCCGTGGACTTAATCTTGAAGGTGGATTTGAGCGGATCTTCAAAGGGGCTTTTGGGCTTGATCTTTGAAGAACAGTGATGAACGGATCTCCAAGGGCTTTTGGGCTTGATCTTGAAGAACAGTGATGAACAGATCTTCAAGGGCTTTTGGGCTTGATCTTGAAGAACAGTTGGATGTGTGTGGATTTGTCGACGTTTGTTGATCCAAAGGGGCGTTGGGGCTTGATCTTGGATGAACGGATGATGAACGATGGTGCTTTCTTCAAGGGCCGTCGGGGCTTGATCTTGAAGGTGGATGATTGTTGATCCAAGGGCCGTCGGGGCTTGATCTTGGAAGAATGATGAACGAAGAACGAAGAAGGCTTTCTTCAAGGGCCGTCGGGGCTTGATCTTGAATTGGTGGATGATTGTTGATCCAAAGGGCCGTTGGGGCTTGATCTTGGAAGAACGATGAACGAAGAACACTTTCTTCAAGGGCCGTCAGGGCTTGATCTTGGAAGAACGATGAACGAAGAACGAAGAAGGCTTTCTTGATTCTTCGGGAACCTGGATGCTTGAGAGCTTCGGAGTTTCAGAGCTTCAGAGCTTCGGAGTTTCAGAGCTTCAGAGCTTCAGAGCTTCAAGGTGTAATATGAATTGGTCCCCAAAAATGAATGAAATGGGCTTGTATTTATAGAATTTTCCAATGCCTAATTTTGAATATAATATCCCAGATGAAATAAGTCGTTTCTGCCAGGTGTTGACATGTGTCCTATTTGATGACTTTTCCAACTCATTTCAATTTTCGTTGAGTCACACGCTACGTGTAAAATTTATGTAATACATGAGCGTTGACACTTTGATTTATCGGTCAACATTTATTTACGAAATTTCGATGTCTACAGCTATATCCATCCTCATAATCACGAAAATTAATCATATCTATAACTGCAAATTAACCATCGGATATTATCCATAATCATACCCACCGGGTAACGGATTCCCCATCGGTTAACGGGTATATCCATATTTGTCAATACAAAAAATATATTCGTTTAGTTAAGACATTATAAGTTAATAGATATTAATTTCGTCATTAAATATTTGATGTATAAAATGATCCAATGAATGTATCTTTTTTAGTATAAAAATTAAAACACTGATGATGTTGGCTTGTCTTTGATATCTCACATAAGAACCATTGAGTTCACATTGATTTTGATTCAAAACTTTACTTTCCTACAAAATGCAACTTTTATATTCTCAAAGTAATGGCTCGATGAATAATGGATATACAAATGCATACATATATATTATACTATTATATTATATTATTTACTAATCGGATCGGATTCAGTTATGGATACGATTTGGAGACCTCTATAATCATATCCAAAATCATAACTGAATAATATAAACGGTTTTTCCCCATATCCAGAATATACCCAAACTTCCATACCCAAATCTATTCCATTCGGAAAATAATCCACGGTTATCGATTTTAACAGTTAGAATTGCCATCCCTATTTGTACTCAAAGTTCAAACTTTTTTTTTTCTTTTCCGAGATTGAATCATAATATCCCAGTTAAAAAAATGAAAAAAGGAAAGACAAATGAAAGAAAAGTACACTCCCCTCCCGGCCTAAGCCACTTCAAGCTGAGCCCATTTCCCAGCCCGGCCATGGCAGCACATCCATAAAGTGTGGACCTTCACACGCAGCCTCCTCTTCAGTTCTTCCTTTTTTTTGGTTTTTCGTCTCTCACATTCAGTACCAGACCGAGAGTCCCCCACTTTGTCGATCAATCTTCAGCCTTGTCTTCCTCCCGAAGGTCCAAAAAGGTAATTCCCTACACCACCTTCGCTGTAATGTCATCGGATTTGTGTTGTGTCAGTGTTATACAAGCTTTTTCCTAAACTGCCATGTGGGAAAGAGCGCACAGAAGGTGTTCGACAAATTGCCGCAATGAGATAATTTTTCAATTAGAGCGTACATTTGTTATATAGTTTAAAATTTTCAGATTATACTTAATTGGGTTAAACCCTTTTGTGCTTGTGACTGATGGGTATGCATAAAGTTAGAAGCTTTGTGTAATATACAAGTGGTTGAATTAAGATGGTATTTGTTATGGTTGCATTTAATTTGACCCTTTAGCTTACTTTTAATTTGTTTTTGAATTAGGCTGTTACAATTTTCAGTGGGTTAAGGCCAATAGCATTACTAGGTGTGAGAAAGAAGGTCTGAATTGTAGCATAAAGTTGTAGAACCGATGGCGTTGAGGCAGGTTTTAGGGTTCTCGGATGGCGAGTTGATGAGGTCGGATTGCAAACCTTGTTCCAGATTGATGAGACAGACTGCCGGTATTTTCACTGTTGGCGGATCATTGGGATTCTGGATCCTTTGCCGATTGCATTACGGTTTGTTCTATCAACACGCTTTCTCTATTCAACTCAATGTTATGTGCTTGATCATAATAATCCGATGCCAATTTTAAGCCTTAGACAAACTTGCTTTTTCGGATGGTTTTGTTTTTCCATGTTGAATACCTCGTTGTAGCTGTAAATACTATCCATTCTATTGTATTTACACAAAGTCAGGGCTTGTATGTTGTTGTTTCTGTGATTTGCAGGTCCGAGAATTACAGTTCCGAGGAGTCTTCGGTGGGCAGCTTGTGGAGCGGTATCTGTGAGCTCTTCCACTGCTTTGCTGGTTCGGTTGTTTAGTCCAGAGTGCGAGCCCCAAAACATAGCTACTTATGACAAGGGAAAGTAGCACTAGATTCATGAAGGTTGTATCGTCGTTCTAAGTAAGTTATGTCGGATTTGTTAATCGTTACAGAGGAGTGATTCCATGATGGATATTTCGATTGATGTAAGATATGCCTTGAAATGGACGTAAACATTTCGAGTATCGAATTAACAGGACTAAGAATCCTGCTTTTGTTGCATAAAAGTTTATCGTCTTTCTTATACGATGCGTCTAATGAGCAATTTCTCTTAGCAGGAGCCCTTGAATCTCCTGAATTTCGGACCTTGTTCCATTTTGCTCTGAACTTTCAATTTGATTTTGAGCATCCTAAACTTTCAATGTATGCTAATATTCCCCCAATAGTCAAGTCTTTCACAATTTTTGTCATTTCATCCTGTACATTATGCCTGGCCAACTTTTATGAGACATATACAACAACAACGACAAAGCCTTATTCTACTAGGTAAGGTAAGGTCGACTATATAAATCTTAGAACGCCACTGCATTCGGTTTTGTGCTATATCAGCGAAATGGTATATCGCAAAAAAATTGGTAATACTTAAATGCACACCATAGACCACACCGCACCACACCTCTAGCAATACAGACCGTAAAATTCATTGCCCAGTCCCACCAAATTCATCTTCCATTTCCGGCTTGCACACACTCTCTCCCTCTCGACCCTCCACCACCCATTCCTCTATCAGTTAGTCATCGACCACTTCTCTCTCTTCGTTTTAGCCGTCGACGTAGAGTTCCGTCAATTCTTAACCAATTCTCTCGATTCGACCGTTAATGTCCGGCTTTCTCTGCTCTCCATATCTCTTTGCAACTCACTCACTATCTCTTTCATGATTTAGGATTTTTTATTTTCAAACTGGGGAAAAATTTAGGGTTTTTTTTATTTTTGGTGGGGATGAATTTCAGAATTGAGGAATGATTTTCGAATTTGGCCTAAGCGATTTTGGTTTTCCAAGAAATCTGCTTTTTTGGATTACCGATTTTTGGTAAACCAAAATTTTCGGTTCGAGATTGGTTTAATTTTTCTTATTCCAATATTTTAGTTCGGTTTTCGGTAATCACTTTTCAGTTCAATCACCAAACTGAAACTAGCCCTAGATTCTGTACTACTAAATTGCTCCAAATTGATTTTCGTTTTTTAACTAAAAAAAACAAAACAAAACTAAAGCAGCATTTTTATTTTTTTTTTTGAGTGAAAAGGGAACAACCGGTGGCAAGCTGCAGTTATTTACCTGTAACGGAGGCCGGGAAAACTAAGCCATGGTTCAGCAATTGGGCCTAGTGTCCAAAACTTCCAGCCCAAAGTGCACGCAGCAGATTAGGATTGCTTCCATCCCAAGATAGAAACTATCCGTACAGTGTCACTCACGCTCTCCGCGTTGTAATACTAATAACATGCAAACAAAACCAAAGAATCCACAAAATCCCACCTTTGAAGCTTCAATCACGCTCTCAGGATCATAGGAATGGCGAGCGGCAAGTCAGTGGTGGCTCTGATCAAGGCCCTGAAGCCGGCATTCCGCTCCGGCAACGACAACGACAAAGTCGCCCTCGCCGTCCACGCCTACTTCTTGGCCTCCGGCTACGACCTCACCGCCACTGGTCCCCACGCCTTTTCCCCTGCCGCCCTCAACTCTTCTTCCACAGGTGCGTACATACATACTCAACCCCATCAAAGTTCTCTTCTTCCCAAAAATTAATGGATTAAAAAACAATATTGATTCTTGGATTTGTTGTTTTGGGTTTGTAGATGAAGTGGGTATTGATGGATGGAACGAACTCGAAGACCAGTACGCATTCGTGTACGTGAACCTGGAAGAGGGTTCGAAGAAGGTCCGGGTCAAGTGCCTTGTGATGGAGCATAAACTGCATGTGTTTTGCGCTGTGGCTGATGGGTCTTCTAAGCATGTCGAACTAGAGTTGAGTTTTTGTGCAACTGGGTTATCATCTATCATCAATTCTTGCTTGTTAATGGAGTTTGCGCGTTGAATTTTGTTCATTTGCAGCGTTGGGAATTATGTAGAGGAAACCGGGGGCGGAAATTACTCTAGACAGTTCAAGAATATGGAGTTGCTGGTGAAAATTCTCGACTCTTTGCACCCCTTGAGGTAAATGAGGTTTCTTGGGTTGCAATTGCATTTGGTTATGTTTGTGAAGTTTTTTGTGGATTCTTTTTGTTACCATGACACAAAATTATGCATACAAATTGGGCAGTGTTGCTTATTGTGGGTTTTTTTTCGCGGCGTTCTTGTTGTGCAGTTCAGAAACAAGTGAGAGTCGCTGTGAGACGAGCATCAGAACTGAGCCTGCTCCTCAGACACATCTTTCAGGGTCTGATCTCTTTCCCTCTCTCTGTTTCATTTACGATCGATTAACAAATGCAACCAATCATGTGAAAAAAAATTGTATAAACTGCAGTTTGTATGCAATACTAGTTCAATTTCAGTCGCCTGAGATGTTTATTAGTTTTCTGTTTGTTTAGAAAGTTCTTTTCAAGTGTATATATCTATCTATGTTTAGGTGTGTGTGTGTATGTTATATCCATAAATGTGAATCTAAGAGCTACCGGAATTTCACCTCTGATATCCTTTTTTTTTCCGCAAGATTAGATTAAATGCATCGCCGACGAAGAAAATGAAAAATGCAGGTCTGCCAAGGAACAATACAGGCCTGCAAGCCCTAGTATAAAACAGCTGGATCCTTGCACTTCCATATGTACCACTTAGTTTGTTTATATCTTTCTACAGTCGCAAAAGAAAGCAGCTCGATACGCTCTGGGAGGAGAACAAAATTCCTGTTAACGCCAACAGCATTGCCAGTGCCGGTTCTGTCAAAGTACTACTTTTATCATCTTTTCTACAATATCCATTTTATAATTCATCGTTGCAGCAATCCATTTGGTTTCTCAAAAGTTTCCGAAAAGACGAGTAATCTTGGAAATCTGAATTTTCCGTAATCTCACACAACGATCTTGCAAATTAATGTGTCAGGTCGGAAAACTTGAAGAGGAGAAAGTTTCTGTGCGGAATGTGTATAGCACAAGGCGAGTGAAGCAGAAGATGGGTTCGGGATCAGATGAAGCAGTTGGTCTCGGCATATTGCTTGAAGATCAAGCAATGCATGATAAGAGTAAGCATATATAAATCATTTGTGCCCAAGAAGCTCATAACCTTATTTTTAAGGGAACTTTAACGAAAAGTACTGTTTACTTTAACGAAAAACCATATTTTTACACTAAAAAGTCAATTCTGGTACTATTCACTTTATCTTTTATTTTGTTCCTTATCATTAAAACTCAAAGTTTTCAAGCCATTTTCATTAGTTTTCCTTATTTTTAATGATTCCAAATTCAATTTTTGTGGTTGCATTTCATCAAACTTCTTTGAATTTGATATTTGTTGACGCAGAACCTCAAGATTTCCCTAAAACTGCTGCAAACGTCCCCATCCCCATCCCCAAGTCCCAGCCCACCCCAGCTTCTCAGTCTGATTCTGTCCCTGTAACGGATCAGATTCTACCAACACCGGTTAAAAAAATGAGTCCGCGCCATCTGCAAGACGGAGAAGTGTACCAAGGTGAGGCTTAGAACTATTCTTGTGCATGGTGCGGTTTGATAACCATTTCGATTTCTGTTTAGTAATGCGTCGGCATATTTGGTTTCGTTTCTAAATGGATTCGTTGTGTGGTGAAGGGAGGCTGCGAGGCTACGATAGAAAATAATGAAGGAAGCTTGCACAAAAGTTGGCATCAAAGGGACAGGTTTAAAGCAAGGAGTTAGAAGTCCATATGAATTGTTACCAACACTACTCTTAGCTTAATATGCATTCAGAAATAAATAGTTGGAATCTTCTTCACACTGTAAAATGATTGATTTGAACCCGTAATTCGATTGAAACACGATGCAAGTTTCATTTTAATTCTATGATGCTATACTTTTAAACTTTTTAACCGTTAGATCTTGATTTTTGTGTTTTTGACCACAGATCTAATGATTAAAAAACTCTCTAGAATATCGGATATGAGCAACATAGAAAATCCCTACTAGCGTTTCTAAACACGGAAACGAAACTCTTCTATTTTCATCTCCTATAGGAGTAGACATTGGAGTTTGATTGTTAAAGTCTTTAGGGCTCGTTCTACAGGAAATACTTATGCTTATTAGGACTTTTGTTAGAAGAATGAACTTTTTGGTCAAAAGTTCAATGGCATCATGAAGCAAGTATCGAGACTATGTAGGATTCGATCGGGATAGATAACCCTCTAAATTTAAAGCATGTCGAAGGATGAAGGTATAGAAGAATTATTATTTATTTTAATCGGATTAGAAGAGAATTGTATGTGAAAAAAACTTCTCTCTCCTAATCCTATCATTTCAAAGAAAATTATAATATATTATTGAGTAACTCACCTTCTATCTCCAAATTAATCATATTTTTTTGCATTTCGAACGTATCCTTTATACCTAATGATGTCTAAGTCTCCACGTGAAGAGATTTTTCAGTGAGCCCAGAACATGGCGTGGTACACTACATGTAATTATAAGTGGTGAGATAATATTTTTTTTTAATGGGGGACAACTAGTGGCAAGTCACGATTATTCACCTATTTCGGGGGACGAGAAGACTCACAGAGGTATTTCAGTAGTGAGATACTTGAGTTAACAAATTAACAACATATAAAAATAAAACTTTCCTTCAATTGTACTAGTATATGCCCACACATAAAGTGTGTATGCCATTTTTTACTTTTGTTTTTTAAATTAAATAAGAGAGGAAGAGAGTGAGAGAGAATGTGGGAGTGGGGAGAAAGGCAGTGAGGTTTTTTTTTTTTTAAATTTTTAAAATTACAGATGATAAAATTACATGTAGGTAAGACTTAAACAAAACAAAAACAAAAACAAAACTTTGTTTATTGTCCTTAACTTTTTTGGTGTGATAGAAGACAAAAATGTATTTTCACTCTTTTTTGATTGACAAATAGAGTTCTATTAATATGTAATTAAACAAGAGAACTTCTACCCCTCTCAAATCCCCTAGGTAATAATGGATTAAATCATCTCCCTCCCCTCAAAACTCCTCCACTAGGCTAAAATTGACTAGGCTCTGGGGGAGCTTAGTTGCTCACCTAGGCTAAAATCGACTAGCCTAGCTCCTAGGCCATGTGATGTAAGGCTAACATTAGTTACAATAAAATATGAATAAAAAATAATTCAAAATACAAAATATAAAAAAAATTCAAAAAAATAATTAAAAATAAAACAAATATGAAAAAAACAATATATTTTTTTTCAAGAAATACCTAATCATGTTCTTCCACCTTACACCACATTTCAATATGTTCAAATACTTTCAACCAATCTTTTATTATCATCCAAAATTAAATATAAAATTACCTTTTGTTATTTGATTAAAAAAATTAATATTTTAATGCGAATTGTTTGGGCTATTCAGTTTAGAGGTGGAGATGCACTCAGACAATTACTATTCACTAACGGTAGTTACTATTCACTTGGAGGATTGAATTGCCTATTGTTCGGGGGACTTTTTAAGGGTAAAAATGCTCTAATGATACGTGGTATACTATCCGTGTTTCGAGTACAATTAAAAATCTTCCCTCCTCACGAAGAAAAAGAGCCCAAAAGAACTCAATTCAAGGAGAAATAAGAGACCTCGGAACTTGTATGGACTGCATGCAAGCATAAATTTAAGCCCACAAATTTTTACTTTGGGTCAGTAGCCCATAGTATGTCATATCGTAATAATTTGACACACGGTACACATCGCTGTGGTTGGTTTCAACATCCCATATATAAATCGTCAGTTTTGAAAGAGATTTGGGACCCAACCCGAACCAAATGCAACCCAATTTACTTGTCCCACTTTGTAATGCAGATCCTCCACTAGAAGGTAAAACCGAATAAAGACATTATCGTTTCATGTCTCTCTTACGTGTCCCACCTTGTATTCCATGTCATGTTGTATGTCTCTCTTATTATGCAACATGTGCATACCTTAGGCCATACATTCGAATACATGAGAAACACTTAAGTACGAGTGTTCGACGTATGCATATTTTTTCCAATGTATTTCGGTTAAATCCAAAAAAATATGACATTTTTATAATTTGGTATCATCCGACTTTACGTAATAACATTCATGAGAACTATCCTAATTAGTTGAAATAATGTAACCAATTTTTTACACAGCCGTCGGTCTTAACCTTTGACTCTAGGGTAGGTGGCATCCTCCTGATATCTCTGCTTTCTTCTTCCTTCCTTCCTTCCTTATTTCTTTATCTATGCCTCCTCCTGAGCTTTGTCTCAACCATTTGAGCATTGGTCTTAATTTTCTCCCTTCTCCCCACTCAATTTCCCACTCAACGCCAGTCCCATTTCCTCGCCCCATCGCACCCTGCTTTCCTACCTCTCCTTTGCTCCCCCTTATCTTTTCCAACCCATAATCATGAATTATCTAAGAGCGTCGGGCCTTATCTTGAAACTGGACAAAACACTCAAAGTCCACTACCAAACTGGCTTGCCGAAAATATTGGGTGAAGTGTGGATACACACCCCCTTTGCCCCTCCCTCTTCTACTATTACGTTTTGTGACCTTCCTTGCAGGTGTGGCCGTGGATGTTGTGGTTCTTGGTGCATTGATTATGCGCAACACTCTCAAATCTAGTTTTTGGTTCGGGTGCTCTTTCCAGTTCGGAGCCACGTCTTCCTTCGTCGAGGAAGCAGCGGCTGGTGTTTTGGTGTTTGAGATTAGGATTTTTTTGATGTGTTTGGCCTTCCTTTATACATTTATAAGTTACATGCAGATTAGTTAATTCATAATTATTGTATGATTGTAAGTGTCCTTTCCTTTACCCAAGAGTTTTTGAAAAGGACTTGGATTGTCTGCCCTCCCATTTCAGTGCCTTCCTCGTGCCCTTTTGTTTGTGTAGTCACGGTTAAGTCACGTCAACATTTTATATTACTATTTCTTTTTGTTTTATTATTTTTATAAAAAAAATAATATAAAATGTTGACGTGGCTTAACCATGACCACACAAAATAGGAGGGCACGGACACCAAAATGGGAGGGCAGACAATCCAAGTCCTTTTGAAAAAGGAGATGGAATGTCTGCCCTCCCTTCCCATACCTTCCTCTTACTCTCTTGTTTTGTATGGCCACGGTTAAATCACGTCAATATTTTATACTAATTTTTTTTTATAAAAATAATAAGATAAAAAATAAATATTAACGTGACTTAACCGTAACCGTACAAAACAGAAGGATATGAGAAGGGTATGAGGATGGAAGTGCAGACAATCCATTTCCTTTAAAAAGTGTCATCTCCTTTACCCAAGAGTTGTATTGTACGACCAAAAAGGTGTATGAATCACGTGCGTGTCACGTGAGTGAAAACAAACAAACCGGAAATGGTCAGTCGAGTCATCGAGCGAGCGAAGTGCGTCTGGTTTGGTGCCACCTGATTAGTTAATTCGGTTAATGGCACATCTAATGGGAAATGCAGCCCCACTTGTCCCATTTTTTAAATTTCACGCCAAAGTAAATTACAATTTACCCACTCAAGTTTTACTTAATTTCTCTTTTGCCCCTTTGTCTCTCCCAAAGACTCAGAGTAACCGCTCTTCTCTCTCTCTTTCTGTCTCTCAAACATTTCATGCTCTTCCTCGGCTCCATCATCAACTTCCCCAAACCCTAATCGCCAAATGGCCTCCTCGCCGGACCACCATCTCAACGGTGACCCCAAAACCCACATCTCAAAAAAACCCAAACTTTCCCTCAATTTCATCACCGCCGCCGAAATCGCCGCTGAATTTTCCCACCACGACCAGAACGTCGCCCGGATCAACAACGGCAGCTTCGGCTCCTGCCCGGCCTCCGTCATCGAAGCCCAGCAGCGGTGGCAGCTCAAATACCTCGCCCAGCCCGACCATTTCTACTTCAACGAGCTCCAGAAGGGCATCCACCAATCCAGAACCATAATCAAGGAGCTCATCAATGCAGACCACGTCGACGAGGTCTCAATCGTCGACAATGCCACCACCGCCGCCGCCATCGTGCTTCAGCAGACGGCCTGGGGGTTTTCTGAGAGCAAATTCGACAAAGGGGATGCTGTGGTGATGCTTCATTACGCTTATGGCGCCGTGAAGAAGTCGATTGAGGCGTACGTTACACGTGCCGGCGGGTATGTGATTGAAGTCCCTTTGCCTTTTCCTTTGAAATCAAATGATGAAATTATCGCTGAATTTAAGAAAGCTTTGGAGAGAGGGAAGGCTAATGGTAGGAGGGTTAGGCTAGCTGTGATTGATCATATTACTTCAATGCCATGTGTGGTTATACCTGTTGAAGAACTAGTTAAGATTTGTAGGGAAGAGGGTGTTGACCAGATTTTCGTAGATGCTGCTCATAGTATCGGGTGTACTGATGTCGATATGAAGCGAATTGGGGCGGATTATTATACTAGTAATTTGCATAAGTGGTTCTTTTGCCCGCCATCTATTGCGTTTTTGTACTGTAGGAAGTCCCCCAAGTGTCCAGAGTTGCACCATCCTGTTGTTTCTCATGAGTATGGTAATGGGTTGGCTATAGAAAGCGCTTGGATTGGGACTCGGGATTATAGCCCTCAATTGGTAGTGCCTTCGGTTTTGGAATTCATCAATAGGTTTGAAGGCGGTATTGAGGGCATCAAGAAGAGGAATCATGAGACCGTTGTTGAGATGGGGCAGATGTTGGCCAAGGCATGGGGAACGCATCTCGGGTGCCCTCCGGAGATGTGCGCCAGCATGATCATGATTGGGTTACCTGCTTGTTTGGGGATCTTGAGTGAGAAGGATACTCAAGAGTTAAGGACACATTTGAGGGAGAAATTTGGTGTTGAAGTTCCGATATATTTCCGACCACCCAAGAATGGGGAGGTTGAGTCAATAAATGGGTATTGTCGAATTTCTCATCAAGTGTACAACAAAGTTGACGACTATTACAAGTTCAGAGATGCAATTAATCAACTTGTTTCTGAGGGGTTCACTTGTGCCCAACTTTCTAGCTGATGAGGTATGCTGTGCTTTCGTCCATTCTAATCGTTTTTTAAGTTAGAAATGTATGATAATCAGGTTTTCTTGTCTTCCCATTTTGTGATTGAAATGCTAGTTAAATCTTGTGATGAATCCAAGTGCTCCTACAACCATTTCCAGAAGTTTAATTATGGTTAGCTGGCGTTTCTTGATTCGGTGGTCAAGATATTTGCTTCAACTTGTAGTGGCTGTGGAAGTTGGTTACTCCTCCCACCTGCCCCCTTTAGAATGTGGTGATAGAACATGTTTACATCCATGGAAAAACTCAATGTAGTATGAATCTTGTAGATTAACAGTTCTGTTGTGTATATGCCCGATGCATATGCAGTTTATGATATGCAAGGAGGGGGCCTTATTTTGTATTATTTGGTACCATGTTTTAATTATTAATAAATTGTTTTTTGACATGTACTTTCTGCACATTGTAGTCCAATGAAGAACCGAAGAAGCTCTTCTGATGAATAACATCCATGGCTATATCTGCATCGCCTGCATGCCTCAGTAGTAGCAAATGGTTTCGGTACCATTAATCCCTAAACTAGTAGAAAAATAAACTGCTAAGTGCATGTGTCGAATCAGAAACAAATTTCTTCATGGTTTTTGGTGTTTTTGGTTTCCTGGACATGTTAGCTGTCTGTTGAATGCTGTCGGAATTGTTGCTGTTGTAAATGTTTAATGGCTGTGTCGATTTCATGCTTAATTATCTCCTAAAATTTAAAACATAAAACTTGAATCGAAATAAGACTCTTTAGAAACGGTTGAGCCTGACCATGACTTAGGGCATGCTGTATGTAGTGAAAATTTTGCAGCTTGAGAAAGAGTCTTGGATGGAGGGTTTCCTCATGGACCACAATATGCTGTGGATCCGGAAGGTAACTTGTCTTAGAATGTTGAAATATTAGAAGGTAAGGCAAAGAGATTGGTCTCCAAATTCTCCACTATTCTGCTTTCTGTTTTTCGGTTATGCTGATTTTGTTCCGATTTTGTGTTCGTTTTTGGTTCCATCATATTATTCATATTCCTCTGGATTCCTCTTCTTCATATTCCCGTTCTCTTCAAGGGGTTTTGAGCTTGAAATGTTATTCTTGTTCCCCCACATTTTGTTTTCTCTCCAATTGGCGGCTGGCGCAGTTATGCCTATGTTTTCTCAATAGTTTGCACTCTGTTCTTACATTTGAAGTAGGAATTCTTTGTAGAAACCTTTGATGCAAACCCGGGCGTAGTCAAGTTAGCTAGAGTTGTGTGCTCTCCTCTGCAAGGTTGAATTCTCTTCGATGTAGTTTAGAATAGTAGAGTTGTGTGGTCCTCGACTTATGACTCAAGTGGTTAAAAGTATATACTTGTTCCGATACGGATTTGAAATATAGGATCATTATTACGTACGATCAAGATGATTCTCAGGTGAGTCATTTTGCATTTCATGTTTAGAAAAGAAAAAGTTGAGAGTGATGGGAGGTCAAAGTGGAATAAGAATAGGTGTAAGCTTGAAATATTATTGGCAATACCTAAAGCAAATGGAAACGTTGTATCTGTCAAAACAAGCACCACGAATATCAGAAAACGTCGACCCTTGCGTCAAAGGTTCTGTGTTCGAATCTATCTCCGTAGTTTAATGTAGATATTCTATCGTTTGTCAATAAAACAAAAATATCAGAAAATGTTGTATCTATCGGTATAATATCTACAAATGTACATTTATTATTTGAATAAAATCTAACATGTTTTGTTAGTCACTTGTTCTCAAATGTTATGCCAATTTTCGGTCAACGGGGTTAGAACCGACTTGGCCTGTGTCCACGGTCGTTGGTTTCGTTCGACTCTTTGAGTTTATTCTCAATTTAGTGGACGTTTTGGCCTAGTAAACCTCATGTCCAAATTATTCATATAATAATATGTTATCGTGGGTTAGATGCGTGAGTTTTTTTTTTTATTATTATTTTTTAATAAACGATATTATCTACATTAATGAGAAGGGGATGGGCTTAGCCTCACAATGGGCTAGCAATAATGTGGTTCAAATTCGTCCTTGGCGAGAATCAAACCTAAGACATTTCACTTACAAGTGAAGAGGAATATCATTAGACTGTAGTACTAAGTGGCAGATGTGTTAGTTAGAACAGCGTGCGCATCCTCCTATTTTGAAGTCTGAATCTTCTTCTTTGTAGATTAAAGAAGTTTAGATCATCGCCTTGCCAAAAGTCAATGTAATAATATGTTAGTTTCTATCTTTTTTAAACCTACCAAGGTCCAAAATTTCAAGCGAAACACACAAGTTTGGTACACATGCTAATAAAACAAGTGAGTTTGGTCGTTAGTCACTGTCAAGAGAGTCATGACAACCATTGAGACAGCATGAGCACAGCCACAGGAATCTACACGTATCTAACTACGTTGAGAATAAGATGACCGAGTAGGAAATAGTTACGTATTTTTGCTCATAAGCGTTTGTGTTGAAAATGCTCTTGGTAAAAGTATAAGTTCTGCTAAAAGTCTAGTGTTTTCTGAGTGCTTCAAGTTGAACTTCTTATAAGAACATTAGGAAGTACTTTAACCACGCTCCAGTTTTTTTCCTCAACGTTGTGACTCGTCAGAAGTGCTTTTGATTATCAGAAAACGAGTTTAGCCAACGAGCCCTGAGATTTAAACATCCCATCGATGTCATACATAAAACAACTGATGATTTGGTTGATGATTTGGTTGTAGCTCTTGTCATGTGTGTAGTCATTAGTCAAGACAAGCAATAAGACAACAAGCGTCCCAAGGATATTACAAATTAATAAGTAGGAAAATGACCAAGAGTGGGAGATCATCGACCGAAAAAAAAGAAAGAAAAAAAAACACTTTCGACAGCAGTTTAAGGAGCCTTAATCGTGTTTAGTTTCTTGCTTAAACATTTGTTAGCGGTTTTTTAGTGGTTAAGAGAGTTTACTCCTAGAGGTCATGGCGGAGAAGATTATCATGTTTTTCCGTTACTGTGTTCCTCAATTCCTCTGGCCCAACCTTTCCTTTCGAGTTTCGAGACCCTCTAATCGCCATTACCATAACCTTAATCATAATGACCCCCAAACCCAAGTCTCCGTTAAGCCGAAACCCTCTTCCTTCATCACAGACACCGAAATCCAATCCGAATTCTCCCACCACGCTGCCGGCGTTGCCAGGATCAACAATGGCAGCTTCGGTTGCTGCCCTGCCTCCGTCATCTCTTCCTTGCACCAATGGCAGCTCAAATTGCTCCGCCAGCCCGACGACTTCTACTTGAACGAGCTTCCAAATAGGATACTTGAATCGAGAACAGTAATCAAAGACCTCATCAGTGCAGAAGATGTGGAGGAAGTCTCCATTGTGGATAATGTCAGCACTGCTGTTGCTATGGTCCTGCAGCAGACGGCATGGTCTTTCGTGGAAGGGAAATTTGACAAAGGAGATGCTGTCATCATGTTTCGCTGCACTTATGGGGCGGTGAAGAACTCAATCAAGGCCTATTTTTTGCGCGCTGGTGGGTGTGCGATCGAAGTTCCATTTAATTTTCCGGTGACTTCAAACGAGGAAATCGTGAGTGAATTCAAGACAGCTTTGGGGAGAGAAAAGGGTATGGGGAGGAGAGTGAGACTGGCGGTGATAGATCACGTTACTTGCATGCCAAGCTTTGTAATGCCGGTTAAGGAATTGGTTAAAATTTGCAAGGAAGAAGGTGTTGAGCAAGTTTTAGTTGATGCAGCTCACGCTGTTGGCTGCGTAGATGTGGACATGAACGAAATCAGAGCCGATTTTTATACAGGTAATTTGTATAAGTGGTTTTTCTGCCCGCCCGCGGTTGCATTCGTGTACTGCAGGAAATCAGTTATGACACATTTAGATTTGCATCATCCTGTTGTGTCTCATGACTATGGAAACGGATTGGTCAAAGAAACCGGTTGGGTTGGGACGAGGGATTATAGTCCCTATCTCGTTCTTCCTTCGGTTATGGAGTTTGTCAACAGATTCGAAGGCGGTGCAGAGGGAATCAGGAACCGGAATCATGATGCTGTGGTTGAGATGGGGAAGATGCTTGCAGAAGCTTGGGGAACCAATCTAGGGTGTCCGCCGCAAATGTGTTCGAGCATGCTGATGGTTGGATTGCCGGCCAGTTTGGGGGTTCTGAGTGATGAAGATGCTATGAAGTTGTGGGAACTTCTGTGCAAGAAATTTGGTGTGGAAGTGAAAATACATTATCAAAACCCGAAAGATGGAGAGCTTGCACCTATAACTGGGTACGTTCGAATCTGCCACCAAATTTACAACAAATTTGAGGATTATTGCAGGCTCAGAGATGCAATCAACCAGCTCGTTCGCGATGACTTCAATTGCGGTAATCTTGAGGTATGTATGTTCTTGCCTTCATCCACTTTCTTGGTTTGCAGGCTACCGGTTATTTTTAGTTTCTCTCCTAGAACTCGATTTTGATTTCACTTGGTTCTTTGTAAGTCAAAAGTCATCGCTTCCCAACTTGAAACTTAAAATTCGTTCAACTTTGGCTTGTAGACTCCCCTCTATCTTCTCCCTGAAACTCAAAAGCCGCCCTTGAAATATATGTGGGACCCACCAGCCAATAAGACTATGCTACATGTGCCAATGAATTTGATTATAAATCTCCACTATATGTTAACATTCAACTTTCAATAGTTAGAAAATATTAAGTTTAAAAGAAGTTATTAAGAATTGGAATTTTTTTTGGGTTTATGTGCTTGAGTTGCAGAGATGGAAAAAATAAAAAAGAAATTGATTAGCATGGTGCACCTAAATCAAATCCACATAACGGAATTAATAGAATCAAGCCACTGTGGAGCGAGTTTTCATTTTTATAGAGTAAAATGATGACTTTCCAGTTTCACGAAAAAAATGGGATCAAAATCGAGTTCGGGAGGGGAAAGTGGAACGAATTTTGAGTTTCAAATAGTAGAGTAAAGACTTTTGAGTTACATGAGACAGATTAAAATCGAGTTCCGGGGTCGTAGTGTATTGGATTTTTATAGATTTTGATCCAAGTAGTGAAAACCCTGTGCAATATTTTATTAATCTTATTTTTGCTTACTTGCCACTGACATGGGGTTTTATGTTAATCTGCAGATCATGAGGCCTGAAGAAGTCGGTCCGACGAATGACAGGTGATATGATTCTATGTCTCCTGCATTCTTACCTTGTTGCAATGGATGGATATGGTTCATTGAACAAGGGTTGTGGAACATGAAGGTTCAAGATTGTGCCGTTTCGTTGTAACCACCACCTCGTCAAGTGTTGTTATCAATCCATGTTATAACACACGTTTCTATCAACTATAATGTCCATTAATATTAACATTTGAGTTATAACACTGCGTGATAATGTGACTGTATTATTTGCTTGTGCATGAAGACATCAGTAATTTGGGTTATGTCGTGTGTTCGTTGATTCTTGATAGCATAAATGGCACATGATTTCATCTGCAATGGGGACCCTAAATGGAGTCGCTATAACCTTACAAAAGAGATCCTCAAATGTGAGAACTGTATATAGAGATCCAAAGAGTGCGCCCACTGTTGATCTTGAGTGGGAAATTGACCAAACCTTCCTTGATTTTTCTACCCTTCATTTTGAATAGCTTGGAAATGGCAACATAGCAAGTGCAAGGGGCTTGCCGACAATAAGAAGACATGCAAAGATTGTAGCATTGTTTTAGGAACATTGTTAAATTAGGGTGTTTGAGCTTTCAACCTCTGTATATTTTTTTGACAATTTTTATTGGCAGTTTAGGGTTGTGTTTTTCCCAAGCTTTGAGGTGGAGTTTTAGGATCCTTTTTTTTCTTAATTTACTTGCAGAACAAGGATAATGCCTTTCCTGTCGCACCATTTTCATAAATTTGATCCGGTGCTATACCTTTTGACTTGCTCCTATGGCCTCTCTCTCTCCTCATATGCTAGACTCCATCTCTCTCTCCTTCTCTTGGATGTTGAAAAGCTTAAAGGCGCCCCACTGTGTTAGTTACATTTTTTTTAAGGGATTGGAAGCAGCAGCTCTTCGATGAGTCTTCCGCCGCCGCCTACTCCGCCTTGCCCCCTCTTCCTAGGCTCAAAGCCATCTACAGTGAAGCCCCAATTTTTCAAATTGGTGGGGCTATGAAGAAGGAATCGAAAGCTGCTGTGAAGAAGGAATTGAAATCTGCAATTTGCTGGCTCCTTTTTGTGGTCAGATGAGGTTTGAGTTTTTTTACAATTCTAGATAGCCAGATGGAGCACAAAATTTCATTGTGAATTGCTTCTGTCCTTTCGCAGGATAGGACAGAACGCGAACGGAGAAGCAGCCTTTCTTCTTCTTAGATCTTTAAAGGGACATGTTTGGAAACGAAATTCAACCCAGAATGGGGGCGGTTTGGAGGAGACTGCGGTGGTGATAGCTGGCGGCTTCGGCGGTAGCGCAGGTGAGCTGGACCAAGGATAACAGGGATATGAGCAGCTTGCTTAGGGTTGCTCTGGTGCAATAAGAGGCGGTGGAGAATCACAGAGTTGGGTTTAAGTTTATGAGGGAGTTGGGAGCAATGAGCAGCAGCCATTGGTGAGTTCAGGGGATATGATTGATTCAATTGGTTGACTGGTAAATTGATTGGATGGTGGTGGAGGTAATATTGGATATGGCTGGTGGGTAGTGATGTTGGGTCTGGGTTGAGATAGGTAGAAGACTCTTTGAATTTGAGTTGTGGTATGTTATTTAAAAAATAATTTGGGTTAAGGGTTAGGGCATAGGGTCTAGGGTCTAGGGTATAGGGTATAAGATATAGGGTTAGGGTCTAGGGTTTAGGGTATAAGATATAGGGTTAGGGTTTAGGTTTAGGGTAAGGTTTAAGGTATAAGGTTTAAGGTGTAAGGTGTAGCGTATAGGTTATAGGGTTTAGGGTTTATGGTTGAGGGTTTAGGGTATAGAGTTTAGGGTTTAGGGTGTAGAGTTTAGCGTTTAGGGTTGGGGATTAGGGTTTAGGATTGGGGTTTAGGGTATAGGGTTTGGGGTTTAGGGTTTAGGGTTTAAGTTTAGGGTTTAGGGTGTAGGATGTAAGATTTAGAGTTTAGGGTTTAGGGTTTAGGGTTTAGCTTTAAGCCATAGGGCGTAGTATTAGGGGTTTAGGGTATCCAAATTGACCCAACTTTCGTTTCCAACATGACTACCTGATTTGGACCCGACTACCTTTTTCTCACCCGATCTCTCCACCCAACCTATTTCCAATCCGGATCACAATATTCTTTAAGGTGATCGAAATCTTCAAGATTCCGGCTCAATCAACAACCATCAAAATTTTCAGTGCCTGGGATTTTGTTCATTTCTTTCTTTGTCGGAGAACTTAAAGTCATCTCCAACCGAATGGTCCAGAGAGTCAGAGAGTCGAAAATAGCCCTAAAACCGTCTCTAACCGAGGGTTAGGCCAAATGGCTCATAGGCCCCATTGGACAAAAAATGGCCAAAGGGCCAAATGAGCTAGCCAGCAGGCCTCGGGCTGGGCTAAAAAATTTGAATCTCAACAGATAGCTGACGTCAGCTAGCTGTTATTTTTATTTTTTTACAGTTCTTTTTTGGGCCAAAATTTTAAAAATAATATTTAATTAAGGCCCAGAAAGGTGATTGGTTTGGTTCTATGTGGGGATGTTGTTTTTATAAGCATGTTTGATTGCTCAAACCTCTTCCACAACCGATGTGGGACAAATATAATGGGTGCCACACATGCAAGCTTTTGCTTGCTCAATGTGCATTTATACATGTAACCATCTCAAACTAAGTTGTACTAGTAATTGGACACTTAAATTAAAAAATTAATTTAACATACAACTGTTAACCACCGCAAGGAGACTTGAAAGCGGCGCCAATTACTATGATGAAGTAAGTGTTTTCACAATTTATCTTAAATATTTAATTATATTAATAAATTATATTTGGTCGATGGCCCTTGGTTGGAGATGATTTTTTGTGACAGTGCTAAAACAAGCCATATGACCCTTTGGTTCTCGATTGGAGATGGTAAGAAATATAGCCGTGTATTGTTCATTAAAATATTAATTTCTTGAAGGATTAGAGGATTAAAACGAACTCTCTAGCCAACATTCGTTTGAAAATGGCCTAAGAATGGTTGTTGGGCCTCACCAACTCTCACTGCTGCTGAAGAAAAGTTTTGGTGTGACTTTTGGGATTGTGATTTTTAATTAATTATTTTTTAAATAGTAAAGTTTGATTTTGGGGTTTGCATTTAGGTACTTTTAATATGTTGAATATCCATGCTTGATTTTAATTAAAATATGAAAATGTTGGTTAGGGCAGTTGGTAAATTAACTTTTTTATTTTTTTTGACAAGAACTCGAAGCTTTTATAAAAACTCAGGGCAAAAGCCAACAGAACACAGAAAGCCCACAAAAGGGCAAACACAGCAAAACAGACAAAGGGCAGTTGGTAAATTAATTTGTTAGCCTTTGTACACTTGAGTTTGAATTTTTCTCTATATATTTGAATAGTTTATTATAAAATACCATCTTGTTACAAAAATATGAGTTAGAAATGAAATTAACTTCTGACACAAAGGCTAATTCTCTTGATTTCTATTTATGGTATACATGCACGAAGCTTGTCACATAACTAAAGTCTTGTTTGGAAATGCTTTTAAAATGACTGAAAACGTTTTTAGAGAAACAAATTTTGGGTTTCAAAAAAGCACTTGAAGTACTTTCTGCAAAAAAATATCAATTATGTGCTTCTTCCAGGAATTACTTTAAGTGTTTTTTTTCAAGATTTACTTGCACTTTTACTAAGGATTGACTTTTAAAATGACTGAAAATGTTTTTAGAGAAACAAATTTTGGGTTTCAAAAAAGCACTTAAAGTGCTTTCTGCAAGAACCATCAGTTATGTGCTTCTTCTAGAAAGTACTTTTAAGTGTTTTTTCAAGATTTACTTGTATTTTTACTAAGGATTGATTTTAACAATATTTTCCCCAAAAAGCTTTCAGTCATTTTAAAAGTAATTCCAAACATGCTTTAAAATTCCCCAAAATAATCCTCCTCCACTTATATTTTACATATTTATAGGGACTTGTTATTTGCACTCCAAAAATCTTATTTGGCACTCAAAACTTTTTACAATTAGAAAGAAAAATACACTTATGAGAAGTGTAGAATGAGATTTTTGGAGTGTTAATAACAATTCCCTATTTATATTATACTAGTTTAAATCAATAAATCTTCTTTTGAGAGAAATTCGACGATACCAACGATACGAGAAAAGACTGTACAATAATCTTTATGCTTAAAAAAAATGTCGTTTTCGGATGTGGGCTCTAAACAAGTGACATTGAGGTTAGGCTGGAATAAGAGGTATAAAATCCAAACCTTGTTGTAAATAGATATAAACAAAACAAAGGAAAATTAATGAAAATGTTTGCAAATTTTGAGTTTTAATGATAAGAACAAAATAAAGGGTAAAATAAATAGTACCAGTATTGATTTTTAGTGTAAAAATGTAATTTTTTGTTAAAATGAACAGTACTAGGAATTTTTCGTTAAAGTTCTCTATCTAAACAAAGTTGAGAGTTTCTTCACAATGTGAAATTTTCTAATTTTTATTTTAAAAAAAATGTAAAAAAAAAAAAAAAAAAAAAAAAACTGGGTTGTGATTGTGAAGGAAAAGAGGGGTATGGTGGGAAAGCCACATACCCGTCTGCGGCTCTGCCCTTCCCACTCCCTCACCTACCTGTAACGTAAACACTATTCCAACACAAACTCTACCTTCCAAAATTCTCCCATATCCTTAACTGTATTAACCACCACTCTCTTGTCTCTCTGTCTCTCTCCCTCTCCTGGGTTGGATTGTTTAGTTTCAGACGTATGCGTGAACATCCCCAAATTTCAGAGCTGCGAGCCAAATTTCACTGTCAAAATCCCAAATTTGAATTGGGCATTGGAGACTAAGACGACAATCTCAGTTCTCAGAGGTAATTTTCTCAATTTCCGATTGTTTTACCGCGATTTGATGTGTCGGTATTGGGGAAATTAGGGTTTTTAGAGTGCCCTTTCTGGGGAATTGAATTTTTTTTTTTGCTTAAAGTTTGAATTTTTGGTGTTTTGTTACTTTGTTTTGATCGAAATTTTGGTACCCATTTGCTTACTTTTTTCGTTTATTGTTGAACCCTTTGAGGGTGTCTGAAAGTCGCTGACTTTCTTAGTTTGCATATGCAACAAGGTTTAATCCTTTGCGCGGTTAGGACCTCAAATATTAGAGTCAACAATTTTTGTGTGTGTATATATGTCATGTATGTGTTCTCTTTTGATTTATGTGCACTCCAGCTGAAAAATACTTGCATTTGGAGCAATTGGGGCTGACAATTTTACTTTGCGCATTTGTCAGTAACCAGAAACCCTACCATAGCTAGAATTAACTCCGCCAGGTTGTGTTTAGTATGCAATTAGTTTAAGCTTAAATTTAACCTGGTAATTCTCCCCTATTGTTGTAATGTGAAGTGAATTGAGGTCTGGTGAGAGGGTCTATGCTGTTTATGTGTACAGTTGACAGATAAAGTGTACAGTATATGACATATGCCGCTTACTGTATTTGCTATGAGGATTTGAAACGGATGTGTTTTGCTCTGTTTGACTGAGGCAGATCATGGAGGTGAAGAGAGTCATAGCAATTTGTCAGTCAGGGGGTGAATTCCTTACAGAGAAAGATGGTACATTGTCATATAGGGGCCTCAACGCTCATGCTATTGACATTGATGACCAGATGAAGTTTGATGAGTTTAAATTGGAGGTGACAGAAATGTTTGGTTGCAACAATAACATGGTCTTCAAGTACTTCCTCCCTGGCAACAAGAAGACCCTGATTACTGTTTCCAATGACAAGGATCTTCATCGCATGATCAAGTTCCATGGTGATTTTGCAACCATTGATGTTTATATTATGGAGGAAGTAGCTCCTCCTGATGTCTCGAACATGCCTGCCAGTAGGTAGTTCTCTTAATATGTAAGCTAGTAAGTTTAGATACCACTTTGAAAAATTTCCTTTTTTGTGAAATTTATGAATTTCATGGATTTTTTAGGTCAAGCAGAACAACTCTGTCAGAAACTGTGGTTCCAGTTGATGCATCTCTCGATGTTGTGGACTTTGTGGGTGATACCACCCAGCCTGATATCCCACTCAATGCCTCGCTTGATGTTATCGATGATGCCAGCCCTATTGATGCACATATTGATATACCCACTGAAATATCACCCGTTTTCCCTCTTGTTGGCCCGAATGATGAGAAGCATGCTAAAGGTGCACAGCAGTGGCAGAATGCAATTACGGGTGTGGGCCAAAGATTCAGCAGCGTTCATGAATTTCGTGAATCGTTGCGCAAGTATGCCATTGCGCGTCAGTTCGCCTTTAGGTATAAGAAGAATGATAGTCATCGTGTGACTGTCAAGTGTAAGGCTGAAGGCTGCCCTTGGAGAATTCATGCATCAAGGTTGTCGACAACGCAGTTAATATGTATTAAGAAGATGAATCCAACGCATTCCTGCGAAGGCGCTGCTGCAACTACAGGGCATCAGGCGACAAGGAGTTGGGTGGCTAGTATAATTAAGGAGAAGTTAAAATATATGCCCAACTATAAGCCCAAGGATATTGTGAACGATATCAAGCAGGAATATGGAATACAGCTAAACTACTTCCAGGCCTGGCGTGGGAAAGAAATAGCAAAGGAGCAGCTTCAGGGTTCGTACAAAGAGGCATATAATCAGTTACCATTTTTCTGTGACAGGATAATGGAGACAAACCCTGGTAGTCTTGCTACTTTTACCACCAAGGAAGACTCCAGTTTCCATCGTCTCTTTGTCTCTTTCCATGCCTCATTGTATGGGTTCCAGCAAGGTTGCAGGCCTCTCCTTTTCCTGGATAGCATTCCCTTAAAATCAAAATATCAAGGCACATTGTTGGCTGCAACAGCTGCGGATGGGGATGATGAGGTTTTCCCTGTTGCGTTCACAGTGGTGGATGCAGAAACTGATGATAACTGGCATTGGTTTTTACTACAATTGAAATCTGCATTCTCAATATCTTGTCCCGTGACATTTGTGGCAGACAGACAGAAGGGATTGAAAGAATCAATTGCGGAAATATTTAAAGACTCATACCATGGCTATTGCCTGCGATATTTGACCGAGCAACTTATCAGGGACTTGAAAGGGCAGTTTTCTCATGAGGTCAAACGGCTCATGATTGAGGATTTTTATGGTGCTGCTTATGCACCTAGGCCCGAAACTTTCAAAGTTGTCTTGAAAGCATAAAAAGCATCTCACTGGAGGCTTACAATTGGATCATACAAACTGAGCCCCAGAAGTGGGCGAATTCATTCTTTCAAGGGGCTAGATATAACCACATGACATCAAACTTTGGAGAGCTGTTCTATTGTTGGGCATCGGATGCACACGAGTTACCAATAACACAGATGGTTGATGTGATCAGGGGTAAGATTATGGAGTTGATCTACTCAAGAAGGGAAGGATCTAATGAATGGTTGACGAGGCTTGCTCCATCCATGGAGGAAAAGCTAGAAAAGGAAACTCAGAAAATCAGAAACCTCCAAGTTCTACTGTTGGCTGGTGGTAGCAGATTTGAGGTTCATGGTGACACCACTGAAGTTGTAGATGTTGATCGCTGGGACTGTAGTTGTAGAGGGTGGCAGATAACTGGTTTGCCATGCTGTCATGCAATTGCTGTCATTCGTTGCTTGGGCAGGAGCCCATATGATTATTGTTCAAGATACTTTACCACCGAGAGCTATAGATTGACATACTCAGAACCAATACTTCCTGTTCCAAATGTAGACATACCTGTGATGAAGGCTTCTTCTCAAGTACTAGTGACCGTAACCCCTCCTCCCACCCGACGTCCACCAGGCAGGCCTACTACTAAGAAATATGGATCACAAGATATGGCTAAGCGTCAACTCCAGTGCAGCAGATGCAAGGGTCTTGGGCACAACAAGTCCACTTGCAAAGAGTCGTTGTAAAGCATTAGACGTTATGTAAGTTTCATCCATTTTTTGTGCATAACGATCAGTGTTTTACCCATTTTGTGCCTCAATTTGATAGGTGTTGGTAGAAACCCCCATTGCCATTGTTTCATTGCATCTGTGTTTTCACTCGTTTATTGGTGAGTATACCTGTGGATCAGTATTCAAGTTCAAGTGCATTGTAGGTTAGGTATGGCTTCATTGTATAGTCTTGTCATCTGTATGAACCTGCCTAGCACCACGTTTGGTTTCAATAAAATAGAGTTCCCTGGATGCCGATGAGATTTTAAGGATTACATTCAACATCTCTCCCCTTGCATCTTTTTATTTGTTTTGTCAATGTATTTTTGGCAGACGTGTTGCATTATTTTCTTGATCATACCTTAATAATTGATGTGCCATTTTTATTGGTTCTGTGAATAGGATTGCATCCGATAGGGCGAGGGCGAGGGCGAGGGCATCATCTGTACTAGTAGAAGCTCAAATAGACAGCGGGGGATGTGTTCCCGAATGTATGTTGTAGTAGAAGCGGGTATGTAAATTATTCTTTGTTTTCGTAGTTGTACCACTAACCTGGGTATTTGGTAGTTTGACTTGGTAAATGAGTGTAATTACCTTAAGTTACTACGGTAATGGGAGGCAGATGTTGTTAGAGTCGCTTGAAGTTGAAGGTCCATGGAAGTTGGATTTGGAATTTGAGATCTGTAGGTTTGGTCCTTTTTCTCTTGTAAATTATCCTTTTGGTCAGCTGGCCAATGTTTAATTCATTTATATAAATACGTTGAGCGTTTAGCTTGAAGATATTCCCTTTTACTTGTCGTTGCACCGCCAAGACCGCCGCCTCCTTCCATGTCCAAAGCCGTGACTGTCACGGGTCGAAAGCTGAGCGTCAGTCCCAGAGACTGCCTTTGTATGGTATGCCAACCCTTGGGGGTGAACGGCATTGATGGTAACCCGTTACAAGAGGGTCGGAATAGCGAAGAGCGGCTACTAGCTGAAGTTCAGCCGCACTTGTCACCTCAAGAAGGAGGAAAGGTACCTATAACCACTTCGATCCAAACCTTCACTCCTCCTCTCATTACATCCTTGTACCCTTTTCCTTCAAGATAAGTACTGCATGAGTGAGGTCCGAAGATGTCTCAGGGAAAAACTTCAGTACCGGTGTCTTGTTCTGACATGGGATTCTTATATATTCAAACTGGCTTCAACGTATGATTACACAGAGCTTCCCCAGGAGCTAGTTCAAATAGGACAGCACTGCTCTGCCTTCTGCCTTTCCTCTTGCTCGAACGATTTGGCTGAAACACGTCACTTGTAAAGTTAATTCTGAGACATATTGGTGTAAGTAACAAAGCACCTTTCTTGGCGTTGGTTAGGGTTTGAACATGTAGAAGAGATCCATGAACCTCAGTGGTGAAGGTGAAGAAAACTATCATACACGGCAGGCAACGGCTCCCGGATCCATTGCACAAAATATGAACCATAGCTGCAAACGGCTCAGGTGACTGATTATGGAGACAAAATCTTCAGCAGTGAACATCTGGACCAGATCACACTTCACCAAAAGAAGTCGAGCGACCAACAGGTCATAAGTTGATTACCGCGATGGAAGTTTCCATCATGTTGCATCTAAGCCCTCTGCAAGGATGTTGCTAACGGTATCTACAGAAGAATTGTCACAGTCCGGCCTGTTACTATCAGAAGTAAGTTTATTTATTGAACACGAAATCATGTGCAACTGAGAATAGTTGGCTATACAAGAGAGTAGATTAAATAGTCTCTCAGAATCAGGTATAAGACCCTCATCGACCATCATATTGAAAAGCAATAAGCATTCTTTCATTCGATTCTGCACACTCATGCTTTGTATGAGCACGCAGTACGCATCCAAATCAAGACTGCAACCCTCCACCAGCATTTTTGAGAGGACTATCAGCAGATCTTTTACCTTGTCTAATTTTGACAATCCAAGCATAATAGTTGAGTAAGTTGAACTGGTAGAAGAAGTACCGGAATAATAGGCCAATTGTTGTATCCTTGCTGCTTCGTCAACCTTTCCTGTCTCACACAAATCCTTGATCAACATATTGAACGAGGAAGGCTCGATCGAACATCTATTACTAGACATGTAACAGAACACTTCAGTAGCCTCATGAGTCATTTCCCCTAGGCAAAGGCCTTTGACAAGCTCAGAGTAAGATGTATGATCCAAAACCCAGCTTTTGGCACGAATATGATCAAATATATCCATAGCATTTCTGTAGTTGCTCATTTTGCAGTGGCAAACGACTAGAGCCGAGTATGTGTCACAGTCGGGAAGAGAACAAGAAACCACCATTCTACCAAGAAGTTCACGCACTTCCCTAATCCTTGCGTGCTCGGAGAGCCATCTGATAACAATATTCCAAGAATTACAATCAGCCACATTTCTTTCAGACATTTCCACAAGTAAATCTTCTGCCTTAAGAAATTTTCCAGTACTGCAGCAAACTTCAAGCAGTACGTTGCAGGCAGAAGTTTCCATGATTTGCTTATCTTCCAAGAACTTCATCGCGTCGTCTACCTTCCCCAATTTACAAAACACATATACTACAATTGCAAAGACATTATTTGGCGGCGTCAACCCAGTTTCCATCATCTCTTCTAAAACCTTTATCGCATCATCCAATCTAAGGTTCTTGCATAAAGACTGCAACAGAACCTCATAAACCAATGAATCTGCCGTAAAATTAGAAGTTCTCATCATTTCAAACAATCTAATTCCCTCCTCCAGTTTATTTTCCTGACAAAACAAAGGTATTATGCAGGAATAAAAACTCAAATCAGGCTGACAACCAAGATCAAGCATTTCATCGAAAACAATAACAGCTTCATCAACTCGGTCCTTTACAATAAAGGATCCCATGAGAATCTCAAAAGTCCTACTGTTAGGACTACACCCTTTCTTCTTCATTCTTCTATACTGATCAACAGCAGACTCAATGCGGCCGCTCTCCAACAATGCCTCTAACAAATAATTCAAAGTATCAATACTTGGCATGATTCCTGCCGTCACAATCTCCTTATAGACGAACAAAACATCTCGAAAATCTCTCTTATCCTTCACAAGGGCACCCAATACACCATTAAATGTCTCAATTGAAGGCCTAAAGCCACCTGCTTTCAAATTCACAAGCACCCTCATTGCCTCACTTAATCTGCAATGCCTAACAAACACATCAATCGGTGCCAAAAGCGCCTCTTCGACATCGGGACACCCATCTTTCACCATATTTTGACAAAACCCCTCCATCTCCTCAACATTTCCAGCCAAACCCAGTTTCAAAGCAATCCGAAAATACGTATCGGCGGTGTGATTAAACCGTTTTTGCAGGGAAGCCCATTTCGACACCTTCACTGCTGAGCTCAAATCATCAGTGTTATCCAGAACCCGGATTAAGTTATCCGGTACAAGCTGATTCCTCAAAGACTGGATATTTTGTTCAAAGTCGGATGAATTTTCTGGGTCCTGATTGTTTCCCGATAACATTTCAATGGTTTTAGTGCAGGAAAGTGCAGAAAAGCATGCATTCGAACAGACCCAGAAGGGGAATCTCTTGGAAAATGTTAAAGACTGGAGCTTTATGAGCATTGCAAGAGTTCATGAAACAGATTTTACTCTTCACTGCGGTAAAAACAAAAATTGTTCAAATGGGTAAACGAGAATTCAGGAAAGATTGATCACTGACCTGAGGAGAAAGAGCTACATGAAGCAGCTTGACATCATAGGATTTAGGAGAAGACTAGGAACAAGAGATTGTGTCGAATGCGAGTGTCCGGGTTCTGCCGTGAAGAAAAAACGCAGAGGTGTTTGCTTCTGTCTTTGTGCTCACTTGTTGACCGTTGGATTCCATTGAACGGTCGAGATTAGACTGAAACTAAAACGAAAGATGGACCCGACTCTGAGTCGGGTCAAATCAACATCTCGAACGGGTTTGCGCTAAATTCGCTACCTACGTTTGGAAATCACTTCTGCCACCGCTTCTATTAGAAGCGCTTTCAGTGGCACGAAATTTTTAATAAAAATATAAATATTATATGATATAAGAACATGACACGTATTTTTTTTTATAAAGCATTTCAAGTGATTTTATTAACACATAAACGCTTCCGATCAGACCCTCAAAGAACTCTAATATAAAGAGAAAATATGAAACTTGGGTGCAAAAAAATAAAAAACCAGTTGACCTAAAACATGTGCTTCATTTTCATGATTTTCTCTGGAATGTGATATCCACACATCCCATTTTACTTCTCACACACCTTTTTAATTTTCGGCTGTCGAATCAGATGAATTGAAGAAGATTACGGACAGAAATTATTAAAGGGTGTGTGAGAAGTAAAATGGGATGTGTGGATAGCACACCCCTTTCCTCTTTGCCCATGCTCAAAGTTGACCTTGTAGAAACACCTAAGCTTATTAGCTGCCATCAATTTGGTTATCACTAACCAAGATCATTTAATTTACTAGAGCAATAATTCTAACCAAAGTATACATGTTATGTGGATCAATTTATCTAAACAAATCAGATTTGGCAGAAGCAATTTTTTTATATTAAAAAAACTTATCTAATCTTTACTATAAAAATAGAAATTAAACCTAATTGCAAAAACGAACTCATTAGTATAATGACTCATTTGTAAGTACTTTTAAAACGGCGGAAAACGTTTTTGGTAAAAATGTCTTTGGAACCAATCCTTAGTAAAAATGCAATTGGATCTTGTAAAAGCACTTCAAGTGCTTCATGCAAAAAGCTTATAACTGGTGTTTCTTACAGGAAACACATAATTTGGTGTGTCTTGCAATAAGCAGTTCAAGTGCTTTTGAAACCAAAGAAATATTTTCTAAAAAGTTTTTTTTTCAGTTATTTTAAAAGTACTTTTAAACAAACCATAAAAATAAGACTATACCTTTCGGGTTTTAAAAAAAAAAAAAAAAAAAAACTATAACCACTAGAGTAGACCTAGCATTTTGGACCCGACCCGTTAACCTGACCTAACTCCATTAATATTAGTATTTGGGTGGATGATTAATGGGTCGTGTCGTTACAGGTGAACCCGTTAACAACCCGTTAAATAATATTAGTATTTGGGTAAATGCTTAATGGGTCGGGTCGTTACGGGTGAACCTGTTAACAACCCGTTAAATAATATTAATATTTGGGTAGATGCTTAATGGGTCGGGTCGTTACGGGTGAACCCGTTAAATAATGGGTCACTTTGGATCAACCCATTAGCACCTGTTAGTTTATGATGTTTTAGTAATTTCAGTAAAATCTTAACAACAAAAAATAAATTATATGCAAAACAAAAAAAAAAAATAATAATTGTTAATGAATGAAACAGGTGATCCGTTAGCTTAACGAGTCGGGTTTGAGTAACCCGTTAAGCTAACGGGTTGGATTCGAATGACCCGTTAACTTAATGAATCAGATTAAACCCGACCCAAAACCGATAAACGTAACCCGTTTACAGGTCTACTAGAGTAATCCATACCTTTACTATGCCCTTTTGTTGAATTAACCAAATGTTGGTGATCCGTATTGATTAAAAAATCAGTAAAACCTACTAGTCAACCGTGAAAGAAAAGTAGATAGAGCCCAAAAGATCATGGGCCGTTAGTATCCGAACCGAGCCCATCATTATTCAATACAATAGCAAGATCCAAAAGGTCCCAAGATCCCCCACGTGGCGAGAACCCATTCGCCGTGGCCAAAATTTTGATTTGCCGCGCTATGAGTCAAAACTCAAAACCCGCGAGGACCAAGCGATAGGTTCGGGAATCGTCATATTTATGAACCCGAGGCCCGGATACTCCGAACCAGAGGCTCGGGAGATCCGAACCAAACCAGCCTCCTTCCGGACGTCGACATATCGCTCAAAACGCAGCAACTCCCGCTGAATAAAGACAAAAAATTTATAGTTAAGCAACCCTAATTTTGCGGGATGATTGGTGCTTAATTTCGCTTCCATATCCTGCCGTCGGATGGTTCTCAGAAGACGAATCGTGACCGTCCGTAGGATTCCTTCTCTGTTCATTGGATGAAACAGAGTACTCGGTCTTGTCTCTGTCTGTATCTGTCATTTGTTTGGGAAGAAGACAGAGAGATTCCCAAGTGGGCTTTTGTTCACTCAAATTTGGTCTGACTCAGCCACCTGGTATCCCCCTCTCCTCTCTCTCTCTCTCTCTCTCTCTAGAAAAACACGTTCTTTGTGAACTCTTATGTTGTTGACGTTTTCTGAGATTGTTGGATCTGTTTTGGGGATTTTTAGGGTGTGTTTTGGAGACCCATTTGCATGCAGAGGTTAGGAAGTGGTTAAATTATTTGTTAATTATAAAAAAGATTAGAACTTTTTCATGGTTTTGATTTAAAGTTGATTTTTTTTTTGGGAAATTGGATTTGTGGGTCAGTCATGAACTCAAATTTGCTTCAACCTTTTGAATTTCGGGTTAATTTTTTTATTAATTAATTAATTATTTATTTCTGAAGAAATTTAGAGATGAAGGTATTCAAGTTGGAGACTTTGAGTTCAGATTTCTTCAAATTCAGTAGACCCATTTGTTGCCCCTCTCTCTCCTCTCTTTCTCTCTCTTAATCTCAATACTATTTCTCTCTCTTTAAATTCAATATTATTTATTAGTTGAAGTTGACGCATCTTATGCATGATTAATTCGGTGGTGAGAGGAGGTGTATTATTTGCATGATTAAATTGTTTTTTTTTAGAAAAATTATGTGCAGTTTTCTTGGACTTGATTAGCTTAAGAAAATGATGCTGGTAGAACTCTCTTATTTTAATTCAACTTTCATTTTTCCGTGAAACCATTTATGGTGTTTTTAAAGCTACAATTTTTTTTAATTTAATCAGTTTTTTAAATTCTAAATTTCTTGGAGGCCATAAAAATTTAATGCACAACTGCTTCTTTCACATGCAGCCTTGAAGAAGAAGATAACTTCTTTCACTGCAAGGACTTTAGGCTTCTGATCTTCTGGCCTTCACGCAATCTAGATCTTCACCGTCAATCTCACTCGGGTGAGATTGTTTTTCGAATTTATGGCGTCGATTTCGGAGAAATCACTGCCTTTGTCACCTTCCTCATCACTGTCATCGATGTCGGTCCACGAATTTGATCCGTTGCTAAAAGATTTGGATGAGAGGAAGCAGAGTTTTCGCCGGAATGTGGTGTCGTTGGCATCGGAGTTAAAGGATGTCCGGAGCCGGTTAGCTTCTCAGGAGCGATCATTTGTTAAAGAAACCCTCACAAGACAGGCATGTTGTTGTTGTTTTTGTTGATTTTAAGGTTCTTTTTGTGTTTTATATGACATGTTTTGAGTCTTGAAATAAGTCATATTTTATCGGGAAGTGATTATCGCACTCACTTTTTTCTCTTTCTACACGCCCTTGTTTATTTTTGGCCTTTGGATTGGATAAATCAAACGAGAATTAATTTTCGGAAATAAAAGAGTCGGAAATAAACAGGGCTTGCAGAAAGAGAAAAAGAGTGCGGAAATCATTTCCCTTTTTGTTTCGGTGTTTTCGAATTGTGGGGTCATTCGGGTTTGTTTGTAATAATTACAGGAAGCAGAGACAAGGGCTAAAATCTTGGAAGAGGAGATTAGCGTAATGCAGAAGAGATTGCATCAGCAGCTTGAGGCCTCATCATCTATGGCCGAGAAGGTCCCACTCACTTCCTAGTTCTTGATAATGCATAATTTTGGATTAGCTTTTAATTGTTTGGCTAATTAAGGACATGATTGACTAAATATTGTTGTTATATTGTCTTTCCTGAGTTGATTATTTCGTTTCTACTGCATCTTGTTGTTTTGAAGTCGTCAAATAAGCCGGACATGCTATCATTGAGGATGCCTTTTGGCTTTGCCTCTTTGTTTTTGGCGGAGCCCTTAGGAGAAAAGGACACCTTAGTTTGGTGACCATTTCGTTTTTAGTCTTCTTTAGCTGATTTCCTTACTGTTTTTCCAATAGAAGTCTTCAGTTTCCATGCCAACACATTAAGTAATTCAGCCTGCGTAAAACGATAGAATTTCATTCAGTACTTAGTAAATCGGCTAATTTCTTTTTCGAGTCTCTTCATATATACGTGTAGGCGGGCGCATAATGGTTGCACTTATAAACAGAACACATCGACATAACATGTAACTGTTGTTCCGAAAGCAGAAATCCAAACTCAACTTTTTTTATTTAATTTCTGACTAAGCTTGTTTGCATCTGACTATCTTTGTTTTGTGAAGTTTGGAGTTGGCTTGTCACCGATGTTTATTAGCTATAAAGAGCTTCGTCAAACATATTTGGAAAATGGTTGGAGTATGAAAATTTATAAGTTTACCTCGATGATTCTGTAACCGATAGCTGAGTCATATATCTGTTTCTTGGAACATATCCGTTGGTTTTTTGTCTTTGAAGAGCGCATCAATTTATTAGCTATCAAGATAACTACTTGCATATCATAGTTTTTGGTAGTTAGGGATGTGAACTTTACTGTTGTACACATTTCCCTGACAATAATGTTATTAACGGAATGCAGTACCTTACGGAAGTGGATGGTCCGAGATCGCAGCTTTCGGCCACTCAAGCAACTGCCGATATTAGTGCTGCATCAGCTCAATTGGCACAGCTTCAGTGTTTAGCGCTTTTGAAGGAAATAGATGAAAAGAACTGCTCGTTAAAAGAGCAAGATGATCGTGTAATTAAACTAGGAGAGCAATTAGATAATCTGCAGAAGGATATTAAGGCAAGAGAGTTTTCCCAGAAGCAACTGAAAGATGAAGTTTTGAGAGTTGAGAATGACATTATGCAAGCTGTTGCGAAAGCAGGGGTGAACAGGGATTGCGAGCTGAGGAAAATATTAGATGAGGTTTCTCCGAAGAATATTGAGAAGATTAATAAGCTTTTAGTTGTTAAGGATGAAGAAATAGCAAAACTGAAAGATGAAATCAGGGTAATGTTAGCTCATTGGAAGCTCAAAACTAAGGAGTTTGAATCACAGGTACATTCATCATATCCTTCTTTTTCTCTGTTTTTTGTATAAAGTCCTCGTCAGTAGATTTCTAATGAACGTCATCCTTTTTTCTGGAACAGTTGGAGAAACAACGGCGAGTTGATCAGGAACTGAAAAAGAGGGTATTGAAATTAGAGTTTTGTCTCCAGGAAGCTCGTGCTCAAACACGAAAGCTTCAAAGGGTAATCATTAGTTTTTTTCTTGCTACTCTGTCAACTTCAAATAAAATTCTCAATTGGTGGTTAATTGCTCTTGCCATTATATTTGGGACTAGCTTGACCTTCAAAACATATTTGTTGTGGCAGATGGGTGAACGAAGAGACAAGGCTCTGAAAGAGCTCAGAGATCAGTTACAACGGGGTGGCGGTGGAGCTGCAGCTGCTGAAAGACAAAATTTTTGGGAAACCTCCGGTTTCAAAATCATGATGTCTATGTCCATGTTAGTCTTGGTGGCATTCGCGAAGAGATAAATAGTTGCAGTATCAAGTCCTGCTGTTATGTAAAAAGAACATGAACGGAACTTTAGTTTTAGTCATGGAATTAGGAATAGCTGCATAGGCCACAGTTGTAGAGGTTATCGTTATGTAGCATAGCAGAGAATGCAATTTTGTTGTTCGCGTTAAAACCACATTACTTTATGAATATCGAATTTGAATCTATGTATGGCATTGTGGCTACCATACCCGCCGATGTTGTATTGGATTTGTTATATCCTTGTTCTCTCAACTCTACGGAGTTCAACCTTCACCTGCTAACCATGCCTGGGCAGATGCTCACGTTTGGTTTTTGAGAATTTGAACACCGTAATATGATGGTTCAGTCATATCAAAATGTACAGGTAGGTTCTGTGAATTTGAATGCCTTAAATGGGGGTAAGGCTAGCCGACATTCACCTCTCCCAGACCCTGCGTAAAGCGGGAGCCTTGTGCACTGGGTACGACCTTTTTTTTTTTAAATTTTACTCCTCTTGTAAGTTACAACTGTGCTATTTTAAAATCTAATGTTGTGTAAGTCCAACAGGTGCTTTGATGTTCATAGCTTTCCGTCTTTGAGGCGAAAACTTGAGAGCTTTCTGTGATGTTACGATCAAGATTCAGGTAAATGATAATGTAATGAAATGTAAAACACAGATTAGTGAATTTTACTCCAATAAATAGCAGAATTTTCTGTTCGTGCAACTTTACTATTAATATCTGAAGCAATCTGAAGTTTAATTCTATTAGGAAGAGCTCAGCACGCAGAACTACAATACCCAACTAAAAGATACAGAATCACAAATCTCTACTGCACTCTCCACCTCAGACTCAGAGTAAAATTGTTGTTTCTAACATCCCGGGTTTACATGTCGAAAAGCTTACCTCCACTTCACCCAGAACAACTCTGCATCCCCAACCTAATGCAAGACAGTACCTATCATGTTTCCTCTAGCTTCTTAGCTTGCATATGTAGTTATGTACAACCGCAATTAGTGATGAGAAAACGAGTTTATGAGGAATCTGATCACCCAAGGAGAAGTTCCATTTTCACATGTTAAGAAAAAAAATTCTTGTAACTAAGGTTGCTACGAAAAAGATGCAACCAAAAGACGGTTGCAAGCTAGCTGAAGTGGATGTTGTTGTGTTGAAACCGGGAGGGGTGTAGGGCCCAAGTTCTGGCATGGTTCCTGAATTAGCCGGGTTGCTTGAGTTCAAAACTGAAGGCGGAGTACCAGAGCTGCAAGTAGAGATGAGATTAGTAATGGACTTGGAAATGTAGTATATGGAGTCTTGAGATAGAACATTATACATACCCTGATACACCTTCCCCAGGTGGTGGAAATGTTGTGATTGCTGGCGGAGTTGTTGACGTTGGTGGTGGAATTGTTGACGTTGGTGGTGGAATTGTTGATGTTGGTGGTGGATTTGTTGATGCCGGATTCGGAGTTGGTGTTGTTGATGATGATGATGCATAAATGCAGGAACCAGTGCCTGTTCAAAAATTCGTTAGTCTCACATGTAGATATTCTAAACTACGATAATTTATGGGAGGGAATTTGAATTAGGGTATAAGAGGTCGGACACACTGCCTTAATCAACTGGCCTAACTCATATCTGCAAAGTATAAGGCCTCTTTGAGATTGCTTCGGATAACCAAACTGAATCTTACTCGTTTGGCACAAAAAACTTAAAAGCAAATCTTTGTCGTGGAACCGCATTCTGCACAAGCACTTGCATGTGCTCCTTTAGGAAGCATCGCCAAGTACGTTTCTAGGAAACACTTCCAAGTACTTTTATTTTTTAATAAAAATTTATATATACTTGTAATAAAAATATTAAAATTGCTTCCTACATAAGCAATTCCTAATGAGCCTAAGTGTATGTCTAGCATATATAAAATCACATGGAAGAAACAAAAGTACTAATGAATGAAATACTTTCTTACTTGGATTAGCACTAACTATTGTGGCAACCCCTCCAAAGTCACAGCTAGTTGACACAGGATTCTTCTGATAGTAGCTGTTGAAGGCAAAGGAGGCATGATTTTGCAGAGAAATTGGATTGTAGCAGCTCCCACCCTGCTGGATCTGTGAGCAATCTGCGCTTCCCATTCCACATGCATAATCCAAAGCTGCCTGAAGTGCTGCTTGTGGTGCTCCACTCTTTGCCACACACCAACTCTGCCCTGGAACTGCAGGAGCGTTAGTTGTTGAAGGAGGTGTGACCGGATTCGTGACAGGTGTTGTTGTGGAGGGAACACCTCCAGTTGGCGGCGGGTAAGTTGTCGCAGGGTTAGTTATTGTTGGAGTTGTGGCTGGATTGGTGACTGGCACTGATGAACTCACAGGGTTTGAGGGGGGAAGAATGATGGGTGTGGTGGAGGGAACTTCCACAGGCGCAGCGGGGTTAACCGGAGTTACTGTTACCGGGTTTGTAGCCGGGACAGTGACAGTGGTTGGGGAAGAGGTGTATGGAGAAGTTGTAGGTACTGCTGGTGTTGTTGGATTTGTAGGGAAGATTGTTGGTGAGCCATATACATCATGTGAAGTTGTTTTCGGGTGGGGATCGCTTAGGATTTCTCTTCTAGAAGAAGGAAGGATCTGTTCCTCTTCCCTCTTGAGCTCTTTTTGCGCAAAATCTTCCATGGAATCTACTTCTGCGTATAACCCTACTAGCCTACTTGTAATCCGAGTCTCGCTTTCTAAAGCTTTTGAAACCTTATCTGTGAACTCAGCCACTTCAGTTGCGCTGGGAGCTGCTGGACTCTTGATTGTCAAAACCATGGGGACAGCATTACAAGGAAGAACAGAATGAGCAAGGCCGGCTTTTTCGATCACTGACTGAACAAACCTATCTCCCATGTTCAATTCTCCGTCGACATTGGCTTCTACTATGACAGAAGATCTCACTTCATTAATAAAACTACAGATCCTGTGCAGGTCTTTTCCATTTCCTCTTCTCAAATTCTCAAGAAATGGCAGAGAAAATGCTACCGAGACCTTAATTCTTCGGTCGAAAGGAAGACTAGTGAGGACCTTGTGTAGGGTTTTGAGGTTGGATAAAACCCTAGGTAGCTTAGATTTTCTTGTATGATCACTGCCACCAATTGCTATGATGCTTTTGATATCTGCTTTTGAGAAGAAGGGCATTGTGTGGGTTTTGAGCCATGATTTTGAGGAAGATTTGGAGCTCATCAGATTTTCAACCTGCCTCTCATTCAAGTAGAGATCAACAGCTACGCCGGTTTTGGACAGAGTGCTTAAAACCCTAGGATCTTCGACAAAGACTCGAATCTGAGACAGGTTGATCTTGTTCTGCTTCAGGAATGATATTGTTCTGACTGGTGATGAAGTTGTAGTGTTTCCACTTGCATGATATGAAAACCCCACCAGAGTTCCTGTATTTTGTGAGGGGAAAAAAAATGACAAACTTCAAACTACTTGTAACCGATAGTTTTAGCTGTAACTAGTTAAAACCCAGTTTTAAATACACAAGAACTAATCAGAAGATGCAATGCAATTCCAAATTCAAATATGTTACTATGAAGTTCGTCGAAACGGAATCTGATAAGTGATATTTCGAGTAAGTCTGTACACAATCTTCTTACGTTTTAAGAAATGATATATTGAAACGAGTCAAAAAGTAAAAATTTATTACTTACCTGATGAACAACAAGAGAGGAGAGAAAGGAAGAAAAGGAAGAGGCACTTAGAAGCTGCAATTGCCATGGTTTTGCGAGGTGTTTATGAGATTCAAGCGAAAGAGCAAGCCAGATTTTTAACGTGATTCATAAACGTCCTTACTGAAAGTGCCAACGAGCGAGAAAACAGATGCACTAACGAGCTACGGAAGATGCGGATGCTTTTAAAAACATTGCACATAAAATTGTAGTGAATTTAAACTACTTGGAGAGAGCAGAGTGTTTGAAGATAAAGGAGTGAGGAGAGAAAAAGTGGCTAAAAAGGAAAGTGGCAAAAAAGAAAGGGTGAGGAGTGAGTTGTAACGGTAAAGAAAATAAGTTTGCTTTGTGACTAAGTGTTGTGAGATGAGGAGAATGATATGGTGGGGTTGGAAAACATTGTGTCTGCAAAAACAGTAGAAAGAATCCAAGGGTGATGCTTTGTGCTTCTTTTTCTTTCCCAAAGAGAAGATATGAGACGTGAGGAGATCCGGATATAAAGTTGGTATTAACAAGTAGCAAAAACATATGCACTATGCACATGCCATGGAGAAATTTTTCAGTATGATCGGCACACGAGGTGGTACACCACGTGTTATTATACAAATGGTGGGATATGTATGTTAAAAAGTTAATAACTTAAAAAATAAAATTTCTCATCACTTACATAAAAACACATGGTGTACCATCTGTGTTCCCGTCACAATGAAAAATTTCTTCATGCATGCATGTAAAATACACACACATCCTAAGCATAGAATACTATACCTATAGATTATGACATAATATTCCCACTAGGAATTCAATCTTTCTTTTTATTTAGGGGGATGAAATTAAGATTAAGATTAAGATTAATTAATATCACCATGATGATTAAGGTTGTTGGCAATAATAAGAAACTTTAATGGAAATGCTCTCGAGATAGCACTATTACTGTAGTATTAAGTGGTATTTCTGAAAATCAAACTTAAAACCTCTCAATTGCAAGTGAAAATGAATATTGTTAGACTAGACTGTATTACCAAGTGATGTTTATATATAGCTTTGAATTGAATAACCAAGGTTGCAATAAGAGAGAAAAGGTGTGTGAAAATCATCATTCCCTTTTGTGTCAATATTGTCCCGTTATATCGACAACAAATGACTCGAAATTGTCTTTATATGACCTAAAAACAGTATCAATGTTTTTATTTATTATTATTAAGGGAAGATGAGAGCGAAAAACTAATTAAAGGAAGGGGAGTTTCGGACTTGGGAGCACATGAGTGGAAACCCAAAATCATATTTACTAAAATATTGAACCGCATAAAAAACCAGTATCATTATGTTGCTAATACTATTGATATTGTCGCTCCACTACATTTGTAGTGTTATTTGAGAACATAGCTATCTTTACTATTGTTATTTGAAAGCTATTCCAAAATTCAAACGATGTGATTTGATGAATTAAAAAATGCTAGTACTAGATCAGCATCAAACAGCCAGCCTGTACTAAAGGAGTGTAAAAGATTTCAGATTTGTTTTGGTTGGACCATGTTAAAGTAGAGATGCACAAAAGTCAATTTTGCTTAGATAAGTGAAACCCAAAAATAAAAAAATATCGAATATTAGTTAAGATCGTCTCTCAAATAAGCATAACTCCTTATTTTGATCTATGACAATGAAAATTGATAGAAGTGGTCCCCAAGTTTGTCTTTGGTCATTCTCAAAAAAATTTGTCAATATCCTTGTTAAATTGTTACGTGAGCAACTATGTGACCATGGGCGGATGCATTGAGGGGCAAGGGGAGTCAGCTGACCCCCTGAACTTCAGTGAATGTCTAGAAATAACTTGAGTGCTGACCTTCCGAATTTCGGTGAATGTTCATGGATAACTTGGGTGTTGCCCCTTTAAAGATTGGAGTTGCCCTTCATATATGCCCTTCAACTACTTAATAAAATGCATTAGAGAGGTGTTGCCCCTTTACAGTATAGTCCTAATATTATTTACTTCTGCCTTGTTTATTGGTTGTGATTACAATTGTACACAGAAAAAAAGAACCAAGTAAAAAACTATCCAAGAATGCAAAGTAAATGAAATGGTGATCTCAGAGAATAACAAAGCATCATCATTCTTGGACAAACATATTAATGGGATGCAATGATATCAAACATTGTTAATGTGTTCAAGTTAAGTGTATTTCTTTGTTAAGCGTTCATATGGGAGCAGCCTTGGAACATGTTAGTTACCCATGCAAATGAAGCATTAACATGTGTGCAGTATGCCTTTCCAAATGACTTTAGGCTTACAAAGACTCGATGAAATGACTATACGCATGCTATTTCTGTTAAAAAAAAATTGCGCGTTGCGCGCGCTATTCTTACTAAGCCCCCTAATATTATTTTCTGAATCCACCACTGCATGTGACCACCCTTTTTCAGGATATTTTTGTCAAACCAACCCCTAACAAGGATATTGAGAAATTTTTACGAAATGACCAAAATGATTTGCGATGGACAAACTCAGAAATCTTGTCAGAGACCAAAGTAAAGAATTATGTCAATCTTATAGACTATTTTTGCTAAAAAACCAAATAAAAAAATGGAGTAATTAGGTTTTCATCCTTATTTTTACTACTCTATTGATTAAAACCTTATTACTTTTCAATTTTTAATCAAGGTCCTTTGTATTAATAATATCATTAATTATTTCAATAATAAAATATTTTTTATTTCTAAATATATTCATTTAATATTAAAAATGTTACAATTAGTATATTTATATTTATGGCTAAATTTTTTATCATATATTTTTATTTTTAGTTTGTACCCATTTTTAATTTGCAACCCTTTTTTAATTTGTACCAATTTTCCTTTCAATTTTAATTTGTACCCATATTATATTTCTTTTTGTGCCCATATTTTTTAAAGTTTTATTTGTATTGTACCCATATTTTTTTTTATTTATTTGTACCCATTTTTATTTTTGCTAAATGTACCCATTTTGAAGAATGTACCCATGTTTTGATACAATAATTTTTTGGTTATTTTTTATGAATGTACCCATGTTTACACACACACACACACACACAATAGTATATATTTATATTTTAATATTTTTAATCCCACAAATTATGTTTTTTATTTAAAATCTCATTACTATAAACAACTATAAATTTTAATTTTTAATTTAAAAAATATAGTAACGTACATAGAAATAAATTATCAATTAATTTTAGGGACTTGGATCAAAAATTGAAAACCAACAAAGTTTCAATCAAAGATTATTCATAACTAGGGACCGCATCCAAAGTCTCCCTAAAAAAATTTATGCATAAATATCAGTAAAAGGTGAAGAAAAGCTATTGGAGAGGAAAGTATTCGGGAGATTAGGCCTAGAGTCCCACGTTTAGGTGTTGGCCTTTTCTTCTTGGATAATTGTTTCTGGCTTTCTTGCATGTGATCTTGTACTTGGTTAGCAAGCATGACGTGGAGCGAAATCTCGAGTGGAGTCGGTGTTTTTTAGTCTCTATCTCTCGCATCATGTAAAAATCAAGTGATAAATCACCGGTTAGATGGTAAAATTCTTCTTAACTGAGAACTAAGCATTCCACATTAGGACGTAAAAAAAAGTGTATACTTTGATGCAACATGACCACAATTTTGTACCTGTAACAGCCTGTTGAGGATAAGTGAAGGTTACCAAAAAAGATGCAGGGTATCATATTCTCAAATCCATGATAAAGACACAAGATTCCACTGCCTTGCATAGATTCATTAGGTAAAAATCACAAATGGCCTTGTCATTATGTATATTTACCTTCCACGAGGCGGATTCAAGAAATTTTTCTTTCGAGGGCAAGATGGAGTCCAAGCATGCACTGCTGTTCCCCTTCTTCCCTTACCGATAACCATTTTAGGAGACTTTTGTTAAACAGCTTACCCTCGTAGCAGTTATATTGCGTTCATAAAAGCTTCGGAACAACATAAGTAGCAAAAAGGGCGAGTGAAGGAGAAATTTTTGGGAGTGACGGGAACATACAACTCAGCAAGGCGGTGGTGTTCCCAACCTATTAAATTTTGACAGTTGTATTTTGTCATTTGCTCACTTAATCATACCTGAAGAAGTTGAAAAGTCAAAAATAAAAGGATGTCCTTTTTAACTCTGTTATATCTTCCGTTATACTGCCGTTTGTTGCCACTATTCCACTAATTAATCATGCATTTTCCTTTCCACCCAATTGAAAAGCTCTTGCACCTTTTCCTTCACTTAAGCACATTTTGGAGGAAGTCTCAAACAATTGAAAGCTTTTTCACACTTTACTTGTCGTCGGGTGATCACAACAAGGCTACTGCCAAATTTTTTTGTTTTTCCAAATTCTGGATGGAGACTTAGCCTCATCACAACAGGGCTGCCATATCGTATGAAGGAGAGAAAAGGGAGGAAAATTGCCCAGCTAGAAAAGGGAAAAAAAAGGGGAAAAATAACCTTTCCATCTCGTTTGCTGAATCACAGTGCTCCTGCAACCCACAACCCCAAGTACCGGTGGTGCCAAGCAAAGCTTGAGTCACCAGAACAATTTTCGTCAGGGAAACCAAAGCTCGAGGCTTTTCACAATTCCATCTTCTTCTTCGCCCCTAAACCTATGGAAGCTTTGTACCTTGATTAGTTTAGTTTTAGTTTTTGGGGTTTTCAATTTCCTTGTCTAGATGTAGAATTTAATTGAAAATTTCAGTAGTTTTTTATTGTCCCTGTGGAGGAGCCGTGCAATAATAGATTCCATTGATGAAGTAATTTCTGTGCAACTTCCCTCAATTTTCAAGATGGACAACAATGTAAAGGTGACAGAGTTAAAAAGGCATCTTTTTGTTTTTTGACTTTTCAGCTTCTTCAGGTATGATTAAGTGAGCAAATGACAAAATCCAACTGTCAAAGAACACCACCTGCCTTGCTAAGGTGTATGTTCCCATCACTCCTAAAAATTTATCCGGGCGAAGGCAATAGCCTTCACTGGCCCTTATGCGGATCTGCCACCATACGGCACGCTCATGGACGTCAAGCTTTACAAAAGGACGAAACTTAGAATATTTGTGTTCTGAAATTAATTACAAAAGTAAAACACACTGCTAAAATCGATGAAAAATACCTAAAGTGAGAAATTGTGGTAAATTACACGAGTGATTTGTGACCTTTCACCAAACCAAAGATCACGAACGAAATAGGAACAGTGTAAAAAAGTAGCCACAACCTTTATGATATGATTATCTGCTGCTACTAATTAGGGTTTTGAATTCAACAAATACCATTGGAGCCACAACCTTTCTGCGGGATAGAATATGCAATGTGAGTGGGGGCAAGCTCCCATGTGGAATAATCTATAGTGCTTTTCTTAGCAGCGCTTAGTCTTCAAAGTAGTGAATCAAAAAGCAGCTTCTCTGACTAGGTCATCCGCCGAAAGCAGAGAGAGAGAGAGAGAGAGAGTGTGTGTGTGTGTCATACTATCATCTGTATTAATTTCAGGGAGAAAAGGAGTCTGTACATAATATTTTCTTTGTGGGTTTGTCTCGTTGCTCATAAAGTTTGCTCAAAAAACTATTGCAATTTGAAAGGATGATATTCTACATTTAATTCAATCTAAACTATGGAGTTAGGGGTTCAAACTCGGGTGCAAAACGAAGCACATCCACTCAAATCAATGTGGCTACGTCCACATCTGCAAAAATTATTGCGTTGATGTTATCTGAACCCTACAGCTTCACTACATATTTACAACATTTCTACTCACTAGAAGCATAAATATTCAGTTTCGAACCTACACTATAGCATCTTGTCATTCCTAGTTGTAACTTAAATGCCAGGAGGATCAACAAACAAGTGACCGAAAGAGGGATCAAGAAGTGCTTCTCTGGCTGACTGATACTTGCCAAGATGCTTCTTCAACGAGCGCAAATCCCTCTCGTCCTTTGAACGACTTTCCTATCACAGGATGAATCATAAACCAAAGTCATTTCTTTTCAGGATGCATAGTTTTGATAAGGATTTGAACTAAAATCGATCACTGTTAGCGGTTTTACCCCATTGGAGTTGTCATTATCGCAAGCGTTAACTACAGCAGTAAGAAGTTTCCTAAAAGTGATTGAGAAAAACTTACAAATGATTTCTTTAGCCGTAATATATCCACCAGGTATATCAACCATATTACATTTGTTCTGGGGAAACTGTAAAAAAAAAACAATTAATAATGATTCAGCACTAATAAAAAGCTTAAGCAAACAAGTTTTCTTACCACAATTATCAGTCTGTCAAAATTACAGAAAAAAATGGACGATCAAATTTCAATCTTCACAAGAAGATATTCAAGCGGGTATCAAAGCATTCTTCTTCGCTTTTCAATTTTCACCGTGTTCTCTCAGATGCTCCATGTGATATTATATTCGATATCAACCACACCTTCCCTCCCAGCAGTCCTCTGTTACCTTCTTCATCTTTCGGTATGTTTCTGACTGCAAATGATTAACGATCTATTATTTTGTACAAGAAAACATATATTTGCTGATATAACTCTAGATTCAACTCCGTGCTTCATCAATGTTCAGAAGTACAAAGCTTTCAAGATGTTCGCCACCATTTTCTAAAACAAACACGACATAGCACTGTATGCAAAATTGTGAGTTGCAATATAAACCTAGGTAAGTAACATTAACCTCATAATATAAAATTTATTTTTACTCTAGAAGATCACCAAATCTTATGAAAAATTACTCCGACGATTTATAGATAATACCAAAAAGGAATCTTTGGATTAGATAATCATGTTTAAATGACATGTGTGCAGCATATGTGGGAACTGGAAGTGAAGAGATTATAGATATTAGACGAATCAAAGTAGAGAAGGAAAAACCTGGTTATCTGGAAATGCCTTGGGGTGATCATTTTCCGAACCACACTTTTCATCCCAGTCCTCCCATGCTTTGATCAAGGCAGCATCGTAAGAACCTTGGCACACTCTCACACTAGGGGAGATTCAGAATCAGATCACAGAAAGACAACAAAATAAAAACCTTGCAACTGAAAGATCATTCAAGTAATCTAATAATAATTTCAATTTTCAAACCAAATCGCATTGTTCAATGTGTTCAAATGTTTGTCGTTTCAAGAAAAGTATATAGAGTTTACTGCATAATACAAATTCAATAGTCTTAAGCAGTTGTGAAAAGAAAGAATTTTAGAGGAAATACGCACTCTATTGTTTCGATAAATGTAGTGCAAGCATTCGGAACATCACTATCATGTCCTCTTAAGCAGTTAAGAGTGCGGGAAAGGATAAGTTGGATAACCTCTTCTAGCATTTTTTTAGATGTCTGGAGCACTGTAACCACATTACGGTATCATTCAACAAAGCGACAGATCCCTTCACTAGAAAGCATATTATTGAACAAGTACCTTTTGCACCTCCCCATTCACCAGTAAGTTGCCTTCAATTGGGACTATTTTGCAAACATGGCTTCACCAATTTTGTTAATCTTTTCTAGGTCACTGTTTCAAGAAATGATCATCTTTTGTCAGCTTATGAGAGCAGAATCAAATTAAACATTATTAACAAAAATTCAAATTATAAATACATACACATTCCAAATAGGGAACTTACCAGTATGTAAAGAACATAACCCCAAATTTTAACGGAGCCGACTGGCCACATAATCTTAATAGTGCACCAAATGGATCCAACTGTTTACTATCGGATGAAGATGATCCCAGAGAGAGTTTCTTTACAGAAGCTTCTATATCTTCACAACCATCATTGCCTGCATCGGCCATTGATTTTATGGTTCCACTCTCACAAACACAAAATTCAGCTGAACTGAAGTCAAATATGCTTTGTGTATAGGGCAAGCGAGAACTGAATTTAGAATAGTTTTGCCAGGTTTTCAAACTTGAAGATGTGAAATTCCTACCCAACGGGTTCCAAAGACAAAGGTCGAATGGCTGAAGTTTGTAGTATCTTAGACAATGTGCTAGAAGGGGCAAAAGTGAAATTGAACTTCTTGAATAACCATTTATCTAAAAGAAAACTAATGAAAAAGGCTTGAAAACTTTAAGTTTTAACGATAAGGACAGAATAAAAGGTAAAGTGAATAGTACCAAAATTGACTTTTTAGTGTTAAAATGTGGTTTTTCGTTAAAGTGAACAGTACCGGGAGCTTTTCGTTAAAGTTCCCTTTATCTAATGGTGAGCACAATTTGGGTAATGCAGCAGCATCTGCCTGGTTGCCGGCAACCCATGTAGTAGGTTTGGGAGAGGGGCTTTCCACCAACAAATCAAAGGCATCAACCTCTTGAAAATACACCTTCTCTTCTTCGAATTTGTAATTTCCCTAGACATTCGGAACATTAAAAACAGCATAAACAAATCAACGTGAAAATGCACTGATAGAGTAAATACAATTGAGGCATTGCAGTACCAGCAACACAATGTTTTAGTAAGCAAGATGAGGTGTTTCATGAATAGCCTCGCCTAGGCAGACGCCTTGAGGCGTGAGACCCTAAATCTTTTAATATATTATATATATATATAATATATATAATACTTTGTAAAACAAATATTCATTATCATCCAAAAGTGCATTTAACTCGCATCAAAAACAAGTTTAACCAAGCAATCAGATTAATCAACAATCAAACAAATAGAGCCAGACATCTAGATTCTTAAGTAAGTGCATATTAATATGTTTATGAGAGTTTTGAGTGATATTTGAGTGGGATAGGTAGTCTTAAAAGGAGAAATAAAGATAATAAAATGTTTCAGAAAAAAAAAATATAACGCTTAAAGAACAATAAAAATAAAAAGATGTTTATCTTCTTTTTTTCCTACTAGGCTGTCATGAGAAAATAACAAAAAGATTATCTACCTTTTAAAAATATCGTCACGTATTATGTGTGGAGCCAAAAATATTCACAAGGCGACACGTGGGTTTTTTGGACAAAAAGGAAAAAAATACCCTTGCAGTACAACGAGGTTCCTACGCGCAAGCAGCGGGCAACCCTCTTTCAACCAAGACAGAAGTGCCCAAAATAGGTAACAATTCAAAGTCCATCTCATCAAATCCTTTCTACAAGGTAATTCCCAAACACATTCCTTTTAAATTATGTTAATTGGCTAATTAATGGGTTTATTGCCTAATTAACCCATTAATTCTCAATTAAACCATCCATTATATCCAAATAACCACAAAATACAACCAATTCAACCCTAAAACATCACATGGCCGGCCATCCCCTTAAGCTTTCAACCTTCCCTATCTTTTCCCACTTTACTACCCCAATTAAGCTAGCTAATTGATTCTATAACCATCCATTTATTCCCTTTATGTTTAATTAGCAAATTTATCATAATAAATTGGCTAATTAAACCTAAATTAAACCTAAAAATCCTAGCCACCTCCTATCCCTATAAATATACTCCCATTCTCACCAAAAAGCTAATTCCAACACTTTGGCAAAAATCCCAAAATTCTCTAAACACTCTTTCTCTCTAAATTTTAACTTTGGCATCGGAGGTTCTTCGGCCAAAGCCCCCCCCATTCATTGTGGGGCGCGTGAGGCTCTTGGCCTTAACCTAAGGTGTTAATTGTTTTTGTAGGTGCAAAATCGTCCAAGATCGAGGAGGAAGAAATTTGCATCCACAAATTGGTGCTTTCATTGAGAGTTGAAATCCATACTCGTAGAAGACTCTCGCACAAAAAGGTTTTTTCTTTATTTTTTAGTCCATTTGAATATTTTTCATACGTTCTTATTATTAGAATTTTTTACTTGCAAAGGTTCTTTAATAAAACGTATAAGCAAAATATAATGGCTAGAAATTTAGAAAATTCCACAAATGAAAATTCTAATATACAAGAAATGGGATTGCGGAGATCCATGAGGCAAAATGCGACAATAAGGGGAGCGGCATCACCACCACGAGTTTCCACCATGGGAACCACCGCGGTGGCTACCTCGGTAGCCACCCACGGCGAGGTCCATGGTGCCTTCACCACGACCACCATGGGAACCACCGCGGTGGCTACTTCGGTAGCCATTCGTGGCGAGGTCCATGGAGCTTTCACCACGGCCCGAGCCCTGCCATCCAAGGCTCACGGTACCAAGACCACGACCCAAGCCGTGCCATCCAAGTTTACGTGGACCCAAGCCCAAGCCTCGCATTCACATGCACCGCGCATTGAGCAGCCTGCTTTCGTTGAGCAGCCCACTCCCGTGGCCCAGCCTGCTCTCGTGACCCAGCCTGCTCCCGACGAGTAGCCCACTCCCGTGGTCCAGCCTGCTCCCGACGAGCAGCCCACTCTCGTGGTCCAGCCTGCTTCCGTCGAGCAGCCCAATCCCGTGGCCCAGCCTACTTCCGCCAAGCAACTTGCTCTCGCGGCCCAGCCTGCTCCTGCCAAGCAGCTTGCTCTCGTGACCCAGCCTGCTCCCGACGAGCAGCCCACTCCCGTGGTCCAGCCTGCTTCCATCAAGCAGCCCACTCCCGTGGCCCAGCCTGCTCCTGCCAAGCAGCCTGTTCTCGTGACCCAACCTGCTCCCGACGAGCAGCCCACTCTCGTGGTCCAGCCTGCTTCCGTCAAGCAGCCGACTCCCGTGGCCCAACCTGCTTCCGTCGAGCAGCCTATTCCCGTGGCCCAGCCTGCTCCTGCCAAGCAGCCTGCTTTCATGACCCAGCCTGGTCCCGACGAGCAGCCCACTCTCACTGTCTATCCTGCTCCAGTGGCTTTCCAAGCAGCCCAAGTCGGCCCAAGACTATCTCAACCATCCGGACCTACCATCGAACCGGGGGCATTCTCACCACATTTTTTCGCGGATTTGACATTTCCCAACTCAAATCTCGCGCCCGAAGTCTACCACCCTTTCACTGCCCAAGGAAGCGCATTCCTTCCAAGCTCTTCCAATCCAAATGGCGAACAACACTTGTCTCGACAAGTCATAGAGTTGACGAGCGCCCTTGCACAACAGACAACCTTGGTGAATCAACTTTTGCAACACATTGGGATCCAACGTGCCCCGGACGAGGTATCCCGAAGTAGGACAAGGGCAGACGGACATTTCCAGCAGTGTCCCGGCAAGCAGCCACGAGCCGAACGTTTGGGCAGTGTACATTCCCGTCTTAGAGCGCGAAGGAGCATGCACTCTCGACTAGGCCCACAGATGAGCATACATTCACGGTTGGGGTTATACTCCGATAGTCAACATGAACAACCTTCCAGGCAAAGTGTCTATTCGCAGCTAAGCCCACAAGGAGCGTCATCCACCTCACATCAGAGTAGGCAGCACGACGGACGGAGAGAAGCAGTCACTCAATCCAGCTCAAGTTCAACCAGCAACATGCGAAGAACTCGCTCGCCTACTAGGAACGCATCACATGCACTGCATCTGCGGCATAGACGAGCCAAACACCTGGAAGAGCAGCCTAGACCAGCAAGTCATGACTGGGGGCAGCCGAGAGCTCCGCTACCCCAACAAATGCAAATTCAGGAAGAAGTAGAGAGACTCTTGACTAAGCGATTGCATGATTTCCAACGCAACGAGGTCACCGACGAGGCACTATGACGGAACATAACCAACATAAGCAGGTCACCCTTCACGGAGGAGATTGAGTAGGCAGAGCCTCCACGCGAGTTCAGCATGCCACATTTCACATCTTTCAAAGGGGATGAAGACCCGAAGAGACACTTAAAACGTTACCAAAGTGCAATGATCCTTTATCGAAACAACGATGATCTCATGTGCAAGATATTCGCCACCACTCTACAAGGCGAGGCGCAAGATTGGTTCTACACCCTGCCGCCACAATCCATCCGGAATTTCTACGAACTTTCTTTGGTTTTCACCAAAGAATATTCATCCTATAGCTCGATCAAAAAGAAGTCTGACCATTTGTTCGACGTCAAGAAGAACCTAAAGGAGTCGCTTCGCGACTATGTGAGGAGGTTCAAAGTAGAGAAGGCAAAAATAGTCGGATGCAACGACTCGATAGTTAGAGCAGCCTTCCAAAAAGGACTTCCAGCAGACCACCCGCTATTCGGAAAATTGATCATGAAAGAATATCTAACTCTGGCATACTCTTTTGCTTTAGCAGAGAAGCATGCACTTTGGGATGAGGCTCGCCAATGCACATTCAAGGACTTGAAGAAGTACCCGACATCACCTCCCTAGAAGCAGCGGATGACTTATTCGCATGTTTGACGGTATCTAAAGTAGCAATAAGCTCTACCATCATGCGAGAAGAGCTGGGGGCCCGACTACCTGTATTCTACAGTTTACTTGCAGTCATCATCATGACGCACTATTCCGCCGAATCCAAACCGGCGACGATAAAGGCGTAGACCCTGGCAGATGCAAAGTTTTCTGACGAACGCAACAACTCGGCCCAACGATGCCCCGAAGGCAGTCGAGCACACTTTAGCTGCACATATTCCCTTAATGGAGATTTCTGGCATTCGCATGTCAACGACGCATCCAACTACAAAGGCTTGCGAGCAGCCGTGGTTCGTGGCAACCGACTACTTCACCAAATAGGTGGAAGCAGAGCCCATGGCGACCACGATTCAGACGGACATAGAGCGCTTCATATGGAGGAACATCATTTACCGATTTGGCATCCCTTAATCCATCGGCACCAACAACGGCCTGCAATTCGTGGGCAAAGATTTGGCGAAGTTCTTTAAAAAATATGGCATCAAGCAGCATATGTCCATGCCGAGATATCCTCAAGGCAATAGACAGGCCGAAACATCCAAAAAGATGGATCTCATCTGGGAAGGTCCGTACAAGCTCAGCAGAATAGGCGGTAAGAGTAATTATACCCCCGCTACCATGAAACGATAAAAAGATCGAAAAGTAGTGGAGCGCCTACAATCTGAAGAAGTACCATGTGTGACCTCCGACTACATCAAAGCCCGAAGACTTAAGAAGCTCGACGGGCACCACCTCACAAGTCGAGGACTATCCAGTTGTTA